TTCTAACAGAAATGCTTGAATGCACACTCAGAAAGCATTCTTTAGCTTTGAAAACGGGAGACCTAGAATTTCAGGAATGCTGCGTCTCATTCCCCTGTTGGTTTTATTTATCTCTGATCTGCACACTCTCTGATGCTCCTGTTAAAAAGAGTCTGACATATTCTGGCAGCAGGTACTATTCCTGCACTTAACTGATCGAACCAAACCAAAAAGAGAACAGAAAACTGCAGGGTTGGTTTTTGGACAATGTGCTAAAGGATTCAGTGGTGTTGAGGTTTCATAGAGTGTTTCCAGTGGGGCGGTCAGGGGCAGACTCAGGCCTCCAGCTCTGATGATAGACATCATACTGTCGATATCTGTCTGCTCTTCTGTTTCAAGCTTGTAGTAAAGATCACTGACACAGAATCCCCCCCGCCCTCCCTTCAGTCCTCTCCTGCACGCTGCAAAGAAATTGGATCCTGCCCTCAGAGCTAAGCACTTCAGGATGAAGTTTTTCTGAGGCCCAAACTGCTGCTGTGATTACAGACGGATCAATACTCGTGGTGTCCCCAGCCAGCTCACCCTGCTGGCACAGGAAATGATGCGATCCATGCGGCTCTGACATTGACAGGCCCCAGAGAGGCGACAGCTTCACTTACTAGAAAAATGCTCTCCATTAGCACAGCCGGGTGGCTCTGCACTGTCATTGTTATGCTAGCAAGACTGTGACATTTGAGTTATGTGGATGACAAATGCTTTTCTAATCATCTGCTAGCAGTATCATTTTCATTTTCATCAACGTTGATGGACAGCTCCTCAGAAGAATTATCATCAAGAAAATGAAATCTTCCCTGACCCTAAATGCCCCGGCTGCTGCCGCCGTTCCCTGAAGATGTCCCACAGGCCAGAGGACAAAAGCTGTAGCCGTCTACACAGCCTCTCCCTCCAGGCATGCTACCCTTTAGCTGTGCTGTTGTGGCTAGAGGTTAAAGCTCATGACTTTTCTCATACTTGTGGAGTGGCCTGGTGATAAGCCACGTCCTTTCTCAGACCTCAAAACACTCTGCACAGGAAGTGGTGCTTATATCCATGCCTGAGAACAGCAGCACTTTCAGGCACGTGTTTTTTTTTTCTTTTTTTTTTCTATGGCTGAGCCAGCGTCTCTTAAACCCAAGCACTTGTATTGACCCACCTCCCATCTCTTTCTCCTCTCTCCCTCTCATCCCCTACAGTTTCCTTGTTTGAAACAATAAAGCCTGCCTGTTGTTATTGATTCCAGAAGATTGGGCCCCAGTAAGTGCTCCTTTGAGTCTGGTGTTATATTAAGCAATTGTTCCAACAGCAGATGACAGGGCTGGGAAGGTTTGGGCTGCCTCTAACAGCCCTGGTATTACCCGCGTGTTAATTGATTGGGCAGCAGAGGGAGGGAGGCATCGGCTGCAATGAGAATTCAAGCCTAAGCAGCTGAAAACTAAACACTAACACTGAATGTTTTTACTTAAAGCTCAGTGGTGTTATTTCACAATTTTAATCTTATGAACAACTGATACACTCTTAAAAAGGTTGGGTTAAAAACAACCCAATTTGGTTAGTTTCCCAACCCAGCGCTGGTTAATATTGGACAGAACACATGCTGGGTTAATTTTACCCAACTAACTGGGTTGGTTCACTTGACCCAACAATTGGGTTCTTTAAACCCAGCATTTGGGTTTTTAATATTTCATATAATATTAAATTACATGAATGCATCAGATTTTATAAAGCGCTTTATCAGAGACCCTCAAAGTGCTTTACATCGGAAACACAGTCACACCTTGGTGGTGGTAAACTACCTCAAACTGCCGGTTTGCGCCTACGGCCTCTCCATCAAGGCAGTAGTTCAACATTTCTAACCACACCACATCACACCACACATCAGCTAACATGTTAGCTTGCTACGTTTGAGGCAATGTACTTTATGCTACTAATGTTGGCTAACCATTAGCTTGCTCACCTACCAATCGATTCCCAAAGGCAGAAGCTGTTACACAACAACAATGCCTCACAAACTTACATCTTAACAACAAAATGAGGTATCAAGTCATCTATCAGGTGAGTGGGTGGTGCTTGGTTTCAAATGCCTGAGCATCTACCCAATGTGTTGGGTAGTCCACAATAAACCAACAAAACTGTATAGAAATTCAATCAATCAGTCTTAATTAACATAGCACTTTTCATACACAACCATGTAGCACAAAGTGCTTTACACAGAAAAAGGAATGAAAGAAACAAAGAATACCCAAATCTAACCCAATGACTCTTTGCCATCTTCCCCAGTTTCCTGCTCTATCTGGATCTGGATGACTCTGCATGCGTGGCGTGTCCGGGTCTGGGTCCTGTGCAGGTCGGTGATAGAGCATTGTTGTTTTTAACCTATTTTTAAGTCACAAACTGAAGTTTTATCTGTGGTTGTACCGTGTTTTCTTTATGTTTTTTAACTAGGAATCAAAGCTTTGATAATCGAATGCCACAATAAGGAGTTACGGACTGATCTCAATACTGAAGTCTAGTGGCCTGTGACCAACAGGCTCAACCTAGTGGTTGGGTTGAAAAAAACAACCCAGCATTTTTTTGTGTGTAACAACAAACATGACTGAGTAATCATATGAGCAATGCAAATCTCTGTTCATTAGGATCATCCATGCATACTCTGACATGTTAGCATTAGTGGTGCCTAACTCAATGCAGACTGTATTCGCTCGAGTGTCTAAACTCCACAGTCAGTATCCAGACAATGTCAGCAGCAGCACGAGGGCACTATTGCATGCAAGGCTGTTTTATGGAAGCCACCTGAAGTAAACGCTCCATTCATCCTGTCTGTCTGCTCTGGCCTCCATTTCCTTTTCTGTCACACGCATGATTAAGACCAGCTTGAAGCATTTATCACAAGGCTGCAACATGATGAGGGGTGCCTTCAGAGTTCAAGCCAAAAGAAACAAAGCCTAAACCTTTTCTATTTGTTTTCCAAGCATCCAAATATTTCCCCACTTCTCAAAAGCAAAGCAGTTAAGTCCAGCCTTTACTTTCCTGTCATGATTCAGCTGGATGGCTGTGGCGATGATGACACTATTTTGACAGCCATAGAGCATTGTATATTAAATCTAATTGCTATGAGTGGTCATCAGTGGTTTTCAATGAATTCAGTGTGTGTGCATGAGTGTGTGTGTGTGTGTGTGTGTGTGTGTGTGTGTGTGTGTGTGTGTGTGTGTGTTTATTTTGGTCAAGTGCATCCCATTAGACTGCATTTCCAATAACAGTGTGTTCTGCTGCGGTTGCATTTCAGCAGAGAGCTAATTTGCTAATGGCATGGCCCTTATTAGAAAGCAATTATTATTAATTACCAGTGGGTGATACAAGAGCTGATTTAGTCCTTAAAGCTCACTGTTACTCTGCCAGTGTGTCTTTCTCTGTGTGTGTGTATATGTGTGTATGTGTGTGTGTGCTGCCTTTCTTAGAGATGATTGTCAGCCCCACACCAGCGCCCTCACCTCCAGCTGGCCCTCTGCCAAGCGGCGACATTGTCATTATCAGCGTGCTAGAGGGCCGGGTAAATGTCATTATTGTAGCTGGTGGATTCCTCCAGGGAATCAGCAGCTACCCGATTAATTTCTCTAACAGCCCGGGAAATATTTGTTGCCTCACCAGCCCGGTTCATGGCAAACATCTATCGCTGCTATGCAATTAACGACATAGATCATTAACATAGTCACAGAGCTCATTTTCATAATGTTCCCTTTATTATCAGAGGAAGAAATTAACCCAGGAATTTATTTACACACCCACTGCAAATGGTAACAGTGTGCTAATTGGCTGTTAGATGATTAATAAGCTTATAGCACATGCTAATGAATGGTGCACTCACTGTTTCAGAGGTGCTCCAGCGCTGTGCTTGTGTTTTGGCAGCTTAATTAGACAGATAATTATGTACTTGTTGCTTTTGCTTTCAAGCAAATACCATCAAACATTAAAAAAGATTAAACTGGCTTGCATTGCTCTGAGCTTGAGTTGGTTCTCTATTTTGTGTTCTGCTGTTAAGAGCCAAGTTACACCAACAGTGTGAATTGTTAGCACTCTATTGTGCCTCTAAAGTAACACTGTGTTCTCTTTTGGGCCACAATTCAGGAAGCAGGTGCAGCTGAATGCACTCATCAACAGCAAATATTGAAGGAATGAGTATATATATAAGTACAGATGTTTTTGATGCTTAATGCCTGTATTTTTTCGATGAAAAAGTGTCTAATATTTTAACATCTTTGCATTTTGATTACGGCACTTCATCACTCTAATCCTTAAAGACATGGTTGACGATTAGAGAAGCACTTGAAGAGACCTGAGCTGTTAAAGGAGGATTTGAAAAAAGCATCCCACCCCCAACACACAAACCTCTCCCCTCTGTGCTCCACGATAACTCCCCCCCAAACCTGTATCACCCTCCCCATGACACAACCCCTCCGGCAGAGCAAGGAGCGGGCCGGCAGAAGATCCTACGCTAGCTTCAAATAGGATTCACCATGTCGGATTGCTTGTGACTAGCGGCGGAAACGCCAGTTCTGCTAGTGCGCACCGTCTGCAGCTGCCTGGACAGCTACTATGTTGACATTGCAGAGACTAATAAGAATTATTTTTGTAACATGTGCCACGATAAAAGGCAAAAATTATCTGTTCAACAAAAACTCTGCTGTCTCAGCATCTGTTTTCAGGCCCAAATCCTGATGGAGCATTCTCCACCGCTCAAAGGATGACCCGATATTTATTCAAGTTAGATTCCTCGCTTGGTCACATTTCCTCTTCGGCTCTGCCCTTTCTTCTGTTGGCTTGCGTTTCCTTCCCATTTTTGGCGGTGGGGCAAGTAGAAGTGTTTTTTTTCCATCCTTTTCCATCACAGCTCTTGTTGCTAAGCTGCTACACTACTTTTAGCCGCTCAGAGCTCTGAGGCGGGCCGGGAGGCAAATTGTTTTTTTTTTTGTAGGATGTAGGGGAAGGTCCCGCCCTCCTTTGCCTCTGATTAGTTGGAAGTGCTGGTCTCCAATTGGTTATTTCTAATGGCTGTGGGACATTATTGTCATTCAGGTTAGGGTTAGGGTTAGGTTTGGGGCAAGGGTTAGGGTTAGGTGTGGGGTTAAGGCTAGGGTTGGGGTTGAGCTAGGGTCAGGGCTAGGGTTAGGATTGGGATAGGGTTGGGCCTAGGGTTAGGGTTGGGGATAGGTTTGGGTAAGAGATACAGTGATAGCCCCTGCTTTCGTCAGTTGACTTCGCAGTTTGGGGAAGGCTGATCAAGGGCTTGCACTGGCCGGTGCATTTCAATCTGTTACATGTTCCCAGTCGAGACTCGGAGCTCAAACTGTGTGTAAAAGTTATGTGTGGGTAGTAAGTTTTATTACTCAGCTCAATTGGTATGCTATGCTGTCTATCCTTTAGACTATGTGTTTGTAGAGAAATTATTTTTGGAGGTTCAGTTAGGTATTAGAGTTGGTATGGTTAAGGGTTATACAAGCTAGGCTTAGGGTTAGGGTTGGAGCTAGTGTTAGGGTTAGGGTGGGAGCTAGGGTTAGGGTGTCAGCTAGTGTTAGGGTTAGGGTTGGAGCTAGGGTTAGGGTTAGGGTTAGGGTTGGAGCTAGGGTTAGGGTTAGGGATAGGGTTGGAGCTAGGGTTAGGGTTAGGGTTGCAGCTAGGGTTAGGGTTAGGGTTAGGGTTGGAGCTAGGGTTAGGGTTAGGGTTGGAGTTAGGTATGTGCATTTTGGAGGTGACCCAACCCCTTGGTAACTGTTGAACGGAAGGTTGTAGAGCGCTGAAACTTGCATGTTGGGGGGTGGAAGATTTTTCTGAGTCCAATGAACCAACTCCCGAGTCTCTAGGACGTTCCTAAAAAAAGTTGATTTTTTCCCATAGGAATGCATGGGGAAAAAATTTTGGGGGGAGCGGGGAGTCTATAGAACCTAATTCTGGGGGGAAGCTTTTTGAAAAGTTTACTTAGGGCTAGGGTTAGGGTTAGGGTTGGAGCTAGGGTTAGGGTTGGAGCTAGGGTTAGGGTTAGGGTTGGAGCTAGGGTTAGGGTTAGGGTTAGGGTTGGAGCTAGGGTTAGGGTTAGGGTTAGGGTAAGGGTTAGGGTTGGAGCTAGGGTTAGGGTTAGGGTTAGGGTTGGAGCTAGGGTTAGGGTTAGGGTTAGGGTTGGAGCTAGGGTTAGGGTTAGGGTTAGGGTTAGGGTTGGAGCTAGGGTTAGGTTTAGGGTTAGGGTTAGGGTTGGAGCTAGGGTTAGGGTTAGGGTTAGGGTTGGAGTTAGGGTTAGTGTTGGAGCTAGGGTTAGGGTTGGGCTTGGAGCTAGGATTTTTCTGAGTGCAATGAACCAACTCCCGAGTCTCTAGGACGTTCCTAAAAAAAATTGATTTTTTCCCATAGGAATGCATGGGTTAGGGTTAGGGTTAGGGTTGGAGCTAGGGTTAGGGTTAGGGTTAGGGTTGGAGTTAGGGTTAGGGTTGGAGCTAGGGTTAGGGTTGGGCTTGGAGCTAGGATTTTTCTGAGTGCAATGAACCAACTCCCGAGTCTCTAGGACGTTCCTAAAAAAATTTGATTTTTTCCCATAGGAATGCATGGGGAAAAAATTTTGGGGGGAGCGGGGAGTCTATAGAACCTAATTCTGGGGGGAAGCTTTTTGAAAAGTTTACTTAGGGCTAGGGTTAGGGTTAGGGTTGGAGCTAGGGTTAGGGTTGGAGCTAGGGTTAGGGTTAGGGTTGGAGCTAGGGTTAGGGTTAGGGTTAGGGTTGGAGCTAGGGTTAGGGTTAGGGTTAGGGTTAGGGTTAGGGTTGGAGCTAGGGTTAGGGTTAGGGTTAGGGTTGGAGCTAGGGTTAGGGTTAGGGTTAGGGTTGGAGCTAGGGTTAGGGTTAGGGTTAGGGTTAGGGTTGGAGCTAGGGTTAGGTTTAGGGTTAGGGTTAGGGTTGGAGCTAGGGTTAGGGTTAGGGTTAGGGTTGGAGTTAGGGTTAGTGTTGGAGCTAGGGTTAGGGTTGGGCTTGGAGCTGGATTTTTCTGAGTGCAATGAACCAACTCCCGAGTCTCTAGGACGTTCCTAAAAAAAATTGATTTTTTCCCATAGGAATGCATGGGTTAGGGTTAGGGTTAGGGTTGGAGCTAGGGTTAGGGTTAGGGTTAGGGTTGGAGTTAGGGTTAGGGTTGGAGCTAGGGTTAGGGTTGGGCTTGGAGCTAGGATTTTTCTGAGTGCAATGAACCAACTCCCGAGTCTCTAGGACGTTCCTAAAAAAATTTGATTTTTTCCCATAGGAATGCATGGGTTAGGGTTAGGGTTAGGGTTGGAGCTAGGGTTAGGGTTAGGGTTAGGGTTGGAGTTAGGGTTAGTGTTGGAGCTAGGGTTAGGGTTGGGCTTGGAGCTAGGATTTTTCTGAGTGCAATGAACCAACTCCCGAGTCTCTAGGACGTTCCTAAAAAAAATTGATTTTTTCCCATAGGAATGCATGGGTTAGGGTTAGGGTTAGGGTTGGAGCTAGGGTTAGGGTTAGGGTTAGGGTTGGAGTTAGGGTTAGTGTTGGAGCTAGGGTTAGGGTTGGGCTTGGAGCTAGGATTTTTCTGAGTGCAATGAACCAACTCCCGAGTCTCTAGGACGTTCCTAAAAAAAATTGATTTTTTCCCATAGGAATGCATGGGTTAGGGTTAGGGTTAGGGTTGGAGCTAGGGTTAGGGTTAGGGTTAGGGTTGGAGTTAGGGTTAGTGTTGGAGCTAGGGTTAGGGTTGAGCTTGGAGCTAGGATTTTTCTGAGTGCAATGAACCAACTCCCGAGTCTCTAGGACGTTCCTAAAAAAATTGATTTTTTCCCATAGGAATGCATGGTTTAGGGTTAGGGTTAGGGTTGGAGCTAGGGTTAGGGTTAGGGTTAGGGTTGGAGTTAGGGTTAGTGTTGGAGCTAGGGTTAGGGTTGGGCTTGGAGCTAGGATTTTTCTGAGTGCAATGAACCAACTCCCGAGTCTCTAGGACGTTCCTAAAAAAATTAGATTTTTTCCCATAGGAATGCATGGGTTAGGGTTAGGGTTAGGGTTGGAGCTAGGGTTAGGGTTAGGGTTAGGGTTGGAGTTAGGGTTAGTGTTGGAGCTAGGGTTAGGGTTGAGCTTGGAGCTAGGATTTTTCTGAGTGCAATGAACCAACTCCCGAGTCTCTAGGACGTTCCTAAAAAAAATTGATTTTTTCCCATAGGAATGCATGGGTTAGGGTTAGGGTTAGGGTTGGAGCTAGGGTTAGGGTTAGGGTTAGGGTTGGAGTTAGGGTTAGTGTTGGAGCTAGGGTTAGGGTTGGGCTTGGAGCTAGGATTTTTCTGAGTGCAATGAACCAACTCCCGAGTCTCTAGGACGTTCCTAAAAAAATTAGATTTTTTCCCATAGGAATGCATGGGTTAGGGTTAGGGTTAGGGTTGGAGCTAGGGTTAGGGTTAGGGTTCGGGTTGGAGTTAGGGTTAGTGTTGGAGCTAGGGTTAGGGTTGGGCTTGGAGCTAGGATTTTTCTGAGTGCAATGAACCAACTCCCGAGTCTCTAGGACGTTCCTAAAAAAATTTGATTTTTTCCCATAGGAATGCATGGGTTAGGGTTAGGGTTAGGGTTGGAGCTAGGGTTAGGGTTAAGGTTAGGGTTGGAGTTAGGGTTAGTGTTGGAGCTAGGGTTAGGGTTGGGCTTGGAGCTAGGATTTCTCTGAGTGCAATGAACCAACTCCCGAGTCTCTAGGACGTTCCTAAAAAAAATTGATTTTTTCCCATAGGAATGCATGGGTTAGGGTTAGGGTTGGAGCTGGGGTTAGGGTTAGGGTTAGGGTTGGAGTTAGGGTTAGTGTTGGAGCTAGGGTTAGGGTTGGGCTTGGAGCTAGGATTTTTATGAGTGCAATGAACCAACTCCCGAGTCTCTAGGACGTTCCTAAAAAAAATTGATTTTTTCCCATAGGAATGCATGGGTTAGGGTTAGGGTTAGGGTTGGAGCTAGGGTTAGGGTTAGGGTTAGGGTTGGAGTTAGGGTTAGTGTTGGAGCTAGGGTTAGGGTTGGGCTTGGAGCTAGGATCTTTCTGAGTGCAATGAACCAACTCCCGAGTCTCTAGGACGTTCCTAAAAAAATTTGATTTTTTCCCATAGGAATGCATGGGTTAGGGTTAGGGTTAGGGTTGGAGCTAGGGTTAGGGTTAGGGTTAGGGTTGGACCTAGGGTTAGGGTTAGGGTTGGAGCTAGGGTTAGGGTTAGGGTTAGGGTTGGAGCTAGGGTTAGGGTTAGGGTTGGAGCTAGGGTAAGGGTTAGGGTTAGGGTTCGGGTTGGAGCTAGGGTTAGGGTTAGGGTTAGGGTTGGAGCTAGGGTTAGGGTTAGGGTTGGAGCTAGGGTTAGGGTTAGGGTTAGGGTTGGAGCTAGGGTTAGGGTTAGGGTTAGGGTTGGAGCTAGGGTTAGAGTTAGGGTTAGGGTTGGAGTTAGGTATGTGCATTTTTGAGGTGACCCACCCCCTTGGTAACTTTTGAACGGAAGGTTGTAGAGCGCTGAAACTTGCATGTTGGGGAGTGGAAGATTTTTCTGAGTCCAATGAACCAACTCCCGAGTCTCTAGGATGTACCTAAAAAAAGTTGATTTTTTCCCATTGGAATGCATGTTGAAAAAATTTTGAAAATATGCCAACCCAATTTTTCACCTTCCAGAATTGTGTTAGGAGCACGTTTCAGGCCACGGGGAATCTATAGAACCTAATTCTGGGGGAAGTTTTTTGAAAAGTTTACTTAGGGCTAGGGTTAGGGTTAGGGTTGGAGCTAGAGTTAGGGTTAGGGTTAGGGTTGGAGCTAGGGTTAGGGTTAGGGTTAGGTTTAGGGTTGGAGCTAGGGTTAGGGTTAGGGTTAGGGTTGGAGCCAGGGTTAGGGTTAGGGTTAGGGTTAGGGTTAGAGCTAGGGTTAGGGTTAGGGTTAGGGTTTGAGCTAGGGTTAGGGTTAGGGTTAGGGTTAGGGTTGGAGCTAGGGTTAGGGTTAGAGTTAGGGTTAGGGTTGGAGCTAGGGTTAGGGTTAGGGTTAGGGTTAGGGTTGGAGCTAGGGTTAGGGTTAGGGTTGGACCTAGGGTTAGGGTTAGGGTTAGGGTTGGAGCCAGGGTTAGGGTTAGGGTTAGGGTTGGACCTAGGGTTAGGGTTAGGGTTAGGGTTGGAGCTAGGGTTAGGGTTGGAGTTAGGGTTGGAGCTAGGGTTAGGGTTAGGGTTAGGGTTGGAGCTAGGGTTAGGGTTAGGGTTAGGGTTAGATTTGGAGCTAGGGTTAGGGTTAGGGTTAGGGTTGGAGCTAGGGTTAGGGTTAGGGTTAGGGTTGGAGCTAGGGTTAGGGTTAGGGTTAGGGTTAGTGTTGGAGCTAGGGTTAGGGTTAGGGTTAGGGTTGGAGCTAGGGTTAGGGTTAGGCTTAGGGTTAGGGTTGGAGCTAGGGTTAGGGTTAGGGTTAGGGTTGGAGCTAGGGTTAGGGTTAGGGTTAGGGTTGGAGCTAGGGTTAGAGTTAGGATTAGGGTTGGAGTTAGGTATGTGCATTTTTGAGGTGACCCACCCCCTTGGTAACTTTTGAACGGAAGGTTGTAGAGCGCTGAAACTTGCATGTTGGGGAGTGGAAGATTTTTCTGAGTCCAATGAACCAACTCCCGAGTCTCTAGGACGTACCTAAAAAAAAGTTGATTTTTTCCCATTGGAATGCATGTTGAAAAAATTTTGAAAATGTGCCAACCCAATTTTTCACCTTCCAGAATTGTGTTAGGAGCACGTTTCAGGCCACGGGGAGTCTATAGAACCTAATTCTGGGGGAAGTTTTTTGAAAAGTTTACTTAGGGCTAGGGTTAGGGTTAGGGTTGGAGCTAGAGTTAGGGTTAGGGTTAGGGTTGGAGCTAGGATTAGGGTTAGGGTTAGGTTTAGGGTTGGAGCTAGGGTTAGGGTTAGGGTTAGGGTTGGAGCTAGGGTTAGGGTTAGGGTTAGGGTTAGGGTTGGAGCTAGGGTTAGGGTTAGGGTTAGGGTTAGGGTTAGGGTTGGAGCTAGGGTTAGGGTTAGGGTTAGGGTTAGGGTTGGAGCTAGGGTTAGGGTTAGGGTTGGAGTTAGGGTTAGGGTTAGGGTTGGAGCTAGGGTTAGGGTTAGGGTTAGGGTTGGAGCTAGGGTTAGGGTTAGGGTTAGGGTTGGAGCTAGGGTTAGGGTTAGGGTTGGAGCAAGGGTTAGGGTTAGGGTTAGGGTTGGAGCTAGGGTTAGGGTTAGGGTTAGGGTTGGAGCTAGGGTTAGGGTTAGGGTTGGAGCTAGGGTAGGGTTGGAGCTAGGGTTAGGGTTAGGGTTAGGGTTGGAGCTAGGGTTAGGGTTAGGGTTAGGGTTGGAGCTAGGGTTAGAGTTAGGGTTAGGGTTGGAGCTAGGGTTAGGGTTAGGGTTAGGGTTAGATTTGGAGCTAGGGTTAGGGTTAGGGTTAGGGTTGGAGCTAGGGTTAGGGTTAGGGTTAGGGTTGGAGCTAGGGTTAGGGTTAGGGTTAGGGTTAGTGTTGGAGCTAGGGTTAGGGTTAGGGTTAGGGTTGGAGCTAGGGTTAGGGTTAGGCTTAGGGTTAGGGTTGGAGCTAGGGTTAGGGTTAGGGTTAGGGTTGGAGCTAGGGTTAGGGTTAGGGTTAGGGTTGGAGCTAGGGTTAGAGTTAGGATTAGGGTTGGAGTTAGGTATGTGCATTTTTGAGGTGACCCACCCCCTTGGTAACTTTTGAACGGAAGGTTGTAGAGCGCTGAAACTTGCATGTTGGGGAGTGGAAGATTTTTCTGAGTCCAATGAACCAACTCCCGAGTCTCTAGGACGTACCTAAAAAAAAGTTGATTTTTTCCCATTGGAATGCATGTTGAAAAAATTTTGAAAATATGCCAACCCAATTTTTCACCTTCCAGAATTGTGTTAGGAGCACGTTTCAGGCCACGGGGAATCTATAGAACCTAATTCTGGGGGAAGTTTTTTGAAACGTTTACTTAGGGCTAGGGTTAGGGTTAGGGTTGGAGCTAGGGTTAGGGTTAGGGTTAGGGTTGGAGCTAGGGTTAGGGTTAGGGTTAGGTTTAGGGTTGGAGCTAGGGTTAGGGTTAGGGTTAGGGTCGGAGCTAGGGTTAGGGTTAGGGTTAGGGTTAGGGTTGGAGCTAGGGTTAGGGTTAGGGTTAGGGTTAGGGTTGGAGCTAGGGTTAGGGTTAGGGTTAGGGTTAGGGTTGGAGCTAGGGTTAGGGTTAGGGTTGGAACTAGGGTTAGGGTTAGGGTTAGGGTTGGAGCTAGGGTTAGGGTTAGGGTTAGGTTTAGGGTTGGAGCTAGGGTTAGGGTTAGGGTTAGGGTTGGAGCTAGGGTTAGGGTTAGGGTTAGGGTTGGAGCTAGGGTTAGGGTTAGGGTTGGAGCTAGGGTTAGGGTTATGGTTAGGGTTGGAGCTAGGGTTAGGGTTAGGGTTGGAGCTAGGGTTAGGGTTAGGGTTAGGGTTGGAGCTAGGGTTAGGGTTAGGGTTAGGGTTGGACCTAGGGTTAGGGTTAGGGTTAGGGTTGGAGCTAGGTTTAGGGTTAGGGTTAGGGTTGGAGCTAGGGTTAGGGTTAGGGTTAGGGTTGGAGCTAGGGTTAGGGTTAGGGTTGGAGCTAGGGTAGGGTTAGGGTTAGGGTTAGGGTTGGAGCTAGGGTTAGGGTTAGGGTTAGGGTTGGAGCTAGGGTTAGGGTTAGGGTTAGGGTTGGAGCTAGGGTTAGGGTTGGAGCCAGGGTTAGGGTTAGGGTTTGAGCAAGGGTTAGGGTTAGGGTTAGGGTTGGAGCTAGGGTTAGGGGTAGGGTTAGGGTTGGAGCTAGGGTTAGAGTTAGGGTTAGGGTTGGAGTTAGGTATGTGCATTTTTGAGGTGACCCACCCCCTTGGTAACTTTTGAACGGAAGGTTGTAGAGCGCTGAAACTTGCATGTTGGGGAGTGGAAGATTTTTCTGAGTCCAATGAACCAACTCCCGAGTCTCTAGGACGTACCTAAAAAAAGTTGATTTTTTCCCATAGGAATGCATGTTGAAAAAATTTTGAAAATGTGCCAACCCAATTTTTCACCTTCCAGAATTGTGTTAGGAGCACGTTTCAGGCCACGGGGAGTCTATAGAACCTAATTCTGGGGGAAGTTTTTTGAAAAGTTTACTTAGGGCTAGGGTTAGGGTTAGGGTTGGAGCTAGAGTTAGGGTTAGGGTTAGGGTTGGAGCTAGGATTAGGGTTAGGGTTAGGTTTAGGGTTGGAGCTAGGGTTAGGGTTAGGGTTAGGGTTGGAGCTAGGGTTAGGGTTAGGGTTAGGGTTAGGGTTGGAGCTAGGGTTAGGGTTAGGGTTAGGGTTAGGGTTGGAGCTAGGGTTAGGGTTAGGGTTGGAGTTAGGGTTAGGGTTAGGGTTGGAGCTAGGGTTAGGGTTAGGGTTAGGGTTGGAGCTAGGGTTAGGGTTAGGGTTAGGGTTGGAGCTAGGGTTAGGGTTAGGGTTAGGGTTGGAGCTAGGGTTAGGGTTAGGGTTAGGGTTAGGGTTAGGGTTGGAGCTAGGGTTAGGGTTAGGGTTAGGGTTGGAGCTAGGGTTAGGGTTAGGGTTAGGGTTAGGGTTGGAGCTAGGGTTAGGGTTAGGGTTAGGGTTGGAGCTAGGGTTAGGGTTAGGGTTAGGGTTGGAGCTAGGGTTAGAGTTAGGATTAGGGTTGGAGTTAGGTATGTGCATTTTTGAGGTGACCCACCCCCTTGGTAACTTTTGAACGGAAGGTTGTAGAGCGCTGAAACTTGCATGTTGGGGAGTGGAAGATTTTTCTGAGTCCAATGAACCAACTCCCGAGTCTTTAGGACGTACCTAAAAAAAGTTGATTTTTCCCATAGGAATGCATGTTGAAAAAATTTTGAAAATTTTTCCAAGTGCCAACCCAATTTTTCACCTTCCAGAATTGTGTTAGGAGCACGTTTCAGGCCACTGGGAGTCTATAGAACCTAATTCTGGGGGAAGTTGAAAAGTTTACTTAGGGCTAGGGTTAGGGTTAGGGTTGGAGCTAGAGTTAGGGTTAAGGTTAGGGTTGGAGCTAGGGTTAGGGTTAGGGTTAGGGTTAGGGTTGGAGCTAGGGTTAGGGTTAGGGTTAGGGTTGGAGCTAGGGTTAGGGTTAGGGTTAGGGTTAGGGTTGGAGCTAGGGTTAGGGTTAGGGTTAGGGTTGGAGCTAGGGTTAGGGTTAGGGTTAGGGTTGGAGCTAGGGTTAGGGTTAGGGTTGGAGTTAGGGTTAGGGTTAGGGTTAGGGTTGGAGCTAGGGTTAGGGTTAGGGTTAGGGTTGGAGCTAGGGTTAGGGTTAGGGTTAGGGTTAGGGTTGGAGCTAGGGTTAGGGTTAGGGTTAGGGTTGGAGCTAGGGTTAGGGTTAGGGTTAGGGTTAGGGTTAGGGTTTGAGCTAGGGTTAGGGTTAGGGTTAGGGTTGGAGCTAGGGTTAGGTGTGGGGTTAGGGTTAGGGTTGGAGCTAGGGTTAGGGTTATGGTTAGGGTTGGAGCTAGGGTTAGGGTTAGGTTGGAGCTAGGGTTAGGGTTATGGTTAGGGTTGGAGCTAGGGTTAGGGTTAGTGCTAGGTTGGAGCTAGGGTTAGGGTTAGGGTTGATGCTAGGGTTAGGGTTGGAGCTAGGGTTAGGGTTAGGGTTGCAGCTAGGGTTAGGGTTAGGGTTAGGGTTGGAGCTAGGGTTGCAGCTAGGGTTAGGGTTCGGGTTGGAGCTAGGGTTAGGGTTAGGGTTGGAGCTAGGATTAGGGTTAGGGTTAGGGTTGCACCCTGACCAATAGGAGCTGTCCAGGACGGATGGCTCCCATTGGTCAATGTTTTTTCAGCCCTGCACCTGTGAGGATGAACTTTTTTTTTTTTTTTTTTTCACTTCACTTTGTGGAGATCATACTATAGGACTATGATCGCCATATAGATCAAATTCGTAATGATGACCAATCTCTTCAATCGTCAACCATGCCTTTAACTCTTCTTTATTGTTTAAAAATTCCAGTGATCATTGATTATTGCTTGTACTGTTGCGGTTAAAAGACTGAGTCAGCTCTTAAGTTCTGCCTCAGCTCTTAAGGGAGAACCATTAAGCAAAGACCAAACATGATCAGATGACTGGGCTGAGACTGTCTCTGGAGATGTCTTTCATTGACTATGTTGTGTAACCACGTTGAACATGTTGTTGCGTTGGTTTCAGGGTGACAAAGACAACAAAACTCTTTTTTTTCTTCCTGTTTTAAGTTGTGTTTTCTCCAAACATAAAGCAGCACTTTGTAGATGATTACTGCAGTTTACAACTTTCCTTACATAAGACCCAATTTGGAGCAGCTCGGTCTTTGTACAGAATTCACAGGGTGAGTTTTGTGTTTTCTGTCTGATCTGTAAAGACTAAAAAGTCAGTGGTAGTCTGTGGTTGTGAATCCTCTGGGAAAGCTGGCTATGAATATTTGATTTAAATACTCCTTTTTATCACTGACATGGCTCAGGGCAGGGATCCTCATTGATCTGGGGTTATAATCACAGATTAAAAAGAACTCTCCCCAAACGATTCCCTGATTAAAGCCGTGTTTATATGCTCTGCTCATGACCAAGTGAGATTCACAGAGGCATTAAAGAAAGCCCCTGTAGGATGAGCAGTGCTGCGAACACACACCCTTTAATGTGGCTCCCACTGGCTATTGTGAACACCAAGACTCTGGCTCCATTTCAACTCATTAGCTGCAGAACTTGGCCTGAATCTAATATGTCAAGCTCAGGAATCCAGTTCACAGACAGATGAAGGGATAAAGAAGGAATAGAAAGTGAGACATTTTCTAGAGACCAAGAAATTTGTTTCTTTTGGATCTTTGTGTTTCACTCAAAGTTTTTAACACATGATAGAAGTTTTTCTGTGTATGTTGGCGTCGCTTTCACATGTAAACTGTAGAAAAACAAGTTCTTATCATACATATTGGCATAAGCACTGTAAATTTTCATAGTCTTTTCCTGCATCTAGAATTCAATTATTATGCACAGACTTTCTGCTTTTTTTCTGATATAGTACTGTCTGACCTTTTACTCACAGGTTTGTCTGAACCTCAATTCTGAATGCTGATTGAAGGAACTTAACCACCGGCTCTTCTCCATCCTGCAGAGGCAGATAAATACCTAAACTGCAAGCCAATGGTATTTGAATGGGCTCTTGGCCCCCTGTCAAACCTCCATTTGTGAGTTTAAACGATTGCTGAATTTCATCTTAATTACAACAAAGACGAGCCAAGCCCAGAGTTCATTCTCATCTTTGCCAATTATGGATGTGGCTGGCAACGCAGTGGTTTCCACCTCTCATTTCTCAAAGCCATTTGGTCCCCAGAAGCAGAGACGATTGGTACGTGCCCGTCCTCTCTCTGCTGTGCTCAAAATGAAGCAGATGAGATTACTCTGTGTGCATGAAGATGATTTCACCTAATATCAACTTAGAGCCTGCTCTGTGCATACTAATCATATGGATATGTTCCCTCATACCAACCAGCACTCACCTTCATTAGTCTTTAAATTGAAGCATAGTTTTTCTAATATGACTGATATAGCACAAAAGTTTGGTTTAGACCTCTGAGACTGATAACTGTGACAAAGTTAGACTCCCTAGATTCTCTGTCTAGGGGCTGTAAGGAATGATGTGCACATTAATTCATGAAAAATTAGGTTAAAGAGGGGAGTGTTTGCTGGCAACCAATCTCTCCAACAGCTACTCTTAATTCATGTTTTGCCATATCAGATTAAATTTGCTTTCTTCATGCATGTGCTTAAGATAATCTGTTCCAGCATTCAGAGTTGTGATTATCCTGGTGGCAAGGACAGAAAGATAGAGAGGCTATAGCAGCCCCAAGTAATTAAATTAGCCCTGAATGGCTAATTGGATCAATTTGGGAGGCAGACACTGTCAAGGATAAGAGTAATCATCTATGCAGCAGCAATCTTTTATTGCTCAGACACGTCTTGTAGAAAGACAAGGTGTGATCCCGAAGGTTAATGTAATTACTGTCCAATTCTTTCGCTCACTGTGCACAATAACGCTAATTAATCTAAGATTGCTGGACTATAATGAAGTGCGACAAGCTCAGGTAATGCTGATTATAGTATTTAGGACACGGCTGAATATTCTATGTATTTCCTCATCTCGGGCTGTCGTGATGATGCTGCAATGAGCCCAGTCTTTCTTCACACTCTATATTGGCTTCAAAGATATGGATCCACTGCAAAAGAAAGTATATTTTGTTTTAAATTTGCTCCTGAGTTTTAGTATGATCATCATGCATTTTATTCCAATACAGTGGTGATTTACATTTGATCCAAGACGAGCTCACTGGGCTCAGTGAGGTGTAAAGCGATGTAATGAGAGAGAGACTTGGCTTATGAGCAGAGCATTCATATTCATTAGCAGCAGGCATTAACATATGATGCCAGTGACGGATCTCTGATGCATGTTTTATGAATGCAGTTAATAGCACGCTGACAGCATGGTGGGCCATAAAGGACCAGAGCAATCCACTGAATGAAAGCCACAGAGTAGTGGGACGATTATTGATTCTCCCCTGTGTCCTATTGATCTCTGACGTTTTCATCTGGCACAGAGCTGCTAATCTGCTGTGTATCAGAGAGACACCCACAGTGCAGCCCATTGACTCTGCTATCAATAGCCACAAAGCTGGATATCATTAAATCCTCATCACTTTGTTTCCCCCAGCCAGCCGCCACAGACGACTGAGCACTCTGCGTGACCTCTGAATAACCACTGTCCACCAGCTTGTTTATGGCTCCGGCTTCTGCCGTGTGACATTTACTGCCTCTTTTTTTAATAGGCCAGTGTAACAGCTCTGCTGTACACATAGCTGATATTGACCACTGCCTCAGAGTGTGCGGCTGAACATGGTTTTATCCCATCGAGTGTGCAGATATAGTAGGTCAACGGAAAGTACACTCAAGCTTTGTCAGCAAACACGGGCTGAATCCTTCGATTTGTCATCAGGGCAAATGTTAGAAATGGATTACAAGCTTTTGAAAACCAGCACAAACCCACACAATACAGCATTTTGGGTAGTTTTAAAGAGCCACTGATTTTACAGGATAGAAAAACAGTAGAGTACTGTGTCCTGTGTGTCTGAAAAGAGGCTCTAACTCTAATGATGTCATAGCAGTCATCACTACCATCTCCTCAAGAGCTTGGAGACAAATTTCTGACAAAGATTTTTATGTTTCAAATTGGAGATGGAGATTTTAAAAGAAACAGATGTGAAAACTTCTACCAAATTGCATTTTTTAAAATGTTCAATTTTGTGTTTATGATCATAACTTAAGATATGTGGAGTAAGGGTGAGGGTATCCTGGTCTTTGCTGCCTCTCCTGAACACTGAATCCTTCGTGTGGTAGCTAGCTGCCTCCCCTAACTTCATGGAGGAGATGTACAAAACTGTTGGTGCGCTCCTCAGCTTAAAATAAAAGAGACAAATAGTGACCGTTTTGTGCAGGATCACATGATAATACCAAACTTATGTCGACATGGTGACTGTGGTTTTCTGAAGAACAGGGAAGATGAGAAACACATTTCAGTGCTGACAGTGCAGAGGAGGAGCCTCCCTCCCCCAGAGAGAGAGGGGGCAGCGGGGGACAAGGACAGGTGACGTGAGGATCGATGGTGCTTAAGGTGTGGGGGTGACAAGGACAGGTGCAGGGGAGCGCTGTGCGATGGTCCATTAGAGATGGAGGCTCCCTGCTGAGAGCAGACAGCATGATAAACAGCTTCAGCTCTGATAATAGTCTGGCTGATCAATAGCCTGTCCGCCCTCTGTGCCTGGAGCAGCAGCCACAACAGCTGACCCCCAGGTCATGAGTCTGCGTGTGTTTTTGGCGTGTGTGTGTGTGGGAGGGCGGGGGTTTGGGAGGAAAGCTATTGGTGAATCAGTCGGAGCATCACATTGACCCCCTGACCTCTCTGACTAACCTTATCTTCCTGATGTAATAGAATCAACCAAGCATATCCAATTAGTATCTGCATGTCCTTCACTTAAGCTCTAATGGTTTATTCATAGTGTAACACTGAAGACATTTTCACATCCGCTCCTGTCATCCTCACTGAGGAAACTTTCCTCCTGCTGCTCGTGTCCTACACTCCTTACCCTGTAGAGGTTGATCCTGCAGATCTTTGGGTGCTCGGACAGTTGAAAGTGGCTCATATCTGTAAGCATTATGCAGCAGCTCACTGAGTACCTATATAATGTGTTGTGTCAGTCTCTTTTTTTGTATTTCATATCCTGATGTGTCAATTAGAGATCTGATGATGTCCTTTACATTTGTAACAGGGATTTAGTTTCTGCCTGATAACATTTTGTGGACAAATAGACCATGATCACAAAATAACTGATAGCAGAATTATTGTGAGTTGCAGCTGGTTCACGGAACAGACAAATGTGTTGTGACAGCACTGATGGCAATACAAAGATGACGAGTGGACGGCACTGTTGTGTTGTAATTACAAGAATAAGATGAATTCCCAGTTAAACCACTTACAGTGTCAGTATGGTTATAAAGTACTTCTCTATTTCATTTCCTGTAACTCTATGATTCTGTCGTTTGTTCCTTTTAGGTCATGTATCACTACATATCCCACAAAATAATCACATAATTAATGTGTGAAACATTTACAGACATAGAACAACAGACCACGTGTGCTCTGACTGAAATCAGCTCCATATCAACTATATCTTTTAATAATATTACTGATTTGGGAATATTTTGATGTGGTCACTGTTTCTTTTTAAAGTCCCACTCCAATCGTTTTTGTTTTACTACTTTAAGTGTTCTCAGAGGTCTTGAAATTGTAGTTATGAAGTTTTTACCAAAAATCATGTTATCTGTGTCATTTTCAAGAGCTTTTCTTCTGCAGAGCTCCAGCAGCTCATTAGCAATTTGCCTCCGAGTCGTGGGCGGAGACAGCACTGCTCTGCACCCTTGTCTTCACACTAGCTTGCAGCCTAACATTGCCTGTGCAATGGAAGTAGCAGGTAACATAGGAACTATTCAGATCTCGGACACATATCTTTAGGGACAAATAAGGGATAAGGGATTAGGGATAAAACCTAATATCATTGTTAGCTTTCTTACGAGCATTGCAATCCGCTAACGCACACCTTGTTCCGCGATTGTCTCCTCTATTTTTTCGAATGTGGCCTGTATAGTGGGGGCTCCGAGGGCAGAACTTGGATTTGCTATGTAGGAAATCTCACTGTTTCTGAACCTGCTGTTTGGATCTGCCAGAGATTCACAGCGATCTGAATGAAGAAACACTCAGAGAAGCAATTTCGCAATTAGTTTTCTTACAATATGTCCTGTCGCATCAGAAAAATGCCATGTGAAGATACAAAAAACAAGAAAAACATGATTTCCATCAGAGTGGGTCTTTAAGGGAAGTGAAGTACTATCACTGAGCACATCCTCATACTTTCCAGCCAAAGTGTTTCAGATTGTAAACTAATAAGCTTTGGTTGTTTGTGTATTAACAGACTGTATTTTTAGAGCCATCCGTCTGTGTCTGTGAGGGGATCTAAGGGTTTATAGTCTTACAGCACAACAATGAAGGATTACAGAACAAGACACCAGCGACAGGAGGAGTTGATGTAGTAGACATCTGACAACCTCTGACCTGTTGTGGCTGAAATAATCACTGAAACACTGATCCGAGAGAAGATGTTTGAATACTCTTACATTTCAGAAACCTCACAGGCTATGAGGCTAAGTGGAATATGAAATTGTGCCCAGAAAAGACACAATTATCTTGTTTGTCTTGGTGCTTATTTTGCTAGTTTGTCATTTGTCATTGTCACAACAAGAAAGGATATTCTTTTTGCTTGTTTTTAGACGGGGGCAAGTATTCAAGAGTACAAAAAAGAGGAAGTAATAGTGTTTCAGCAAGTGGTTGCGGCAACGCATCTGTGAGTAGATGTGGAAAAACAACATGAATTGAGACAGACACACACACACACACACACTCAGACAGACACACATAGACACACGCACACACTCACTTAGAAGTGTTGTCACTCACTGAGTCAAAACCACACGTCTGCTCTGAAGTCCTTTCTTCTCGACGTGCCTGCGTTATCTCACAGCTACAGTTGTGGCTTCAATGGCGGTGAGACATCCTGACTTGGAAAGTGAGACTCCATATCTTGAGCAACCCCACAAGCCATAAACCGCAGGCAGCAGCTTCTGCAGCCCAGCTCGCTGCGACTTCAAACACTAACAAGCTGGAATAACATTTTGCTTGGGGTGGCTTCCCTTGACGGCTCCCAGCTGCTGGCAGGCTGATGGAAGGAAGACAAGATTTATTACAGGCCTTGTCGCATTTGGATAAAACCTAACCGCATAGTATAGAAACTGTGGGATCACAGAATGTGTCATTACTGCAGCTCTCTCCGCAGATCAGTGCAAGATCCATGCTGGAATCAGTCCTTCGGAAAATCAATTTCCATGTCTGAGCTAGAGTCCTGCTGTCAGTGTCTCTTGAAAGCTTTGAGTGGAATTAAATTGACATTTGAGGTGGAGAGTGAATTACTTTAAACCTGCTGCAATTTAAATGATACTGTAAAGCTGGTAGAAAATACCGCAGCGTCGGAATACCAAATTGGAAAAGTGGAAAGTCCAATCCTCACAGTGAGATAAACAATCATCCCACGTAGTGTTCAGCTCCCATGGTTTGTTAAGATGTCGGGTGTCATGCTATTTCATAACAGGAAGTGTGAGGTGATGATGAAGCAGCGATCTGACCCACGAACACCCTCTCGGAGGGACTACAGGAGTGCAGATGGGATGACAGAGAGCAGATATGTGGGAGTCTGGATTTGAAAGATTTATAAGCTCTGGCCCGAGGACAGCAGTGAATCGTCTCTGCTGAATCACCCTCTCAGGAATGAACGTTAAATACACAAAAAGGATACTTACCTTAACAAGTCTGAGCAGAGTGCTGTCACAGTTCACAGGGTTACTTCATACCTGTGAGACAAGGAAGTGAGAACACAAAGTAAGCAGTTTCACCAAAGAAAAAACAAGAAGTGGGTGGAAAGTATATGAGGAGACTTTTGGTTTCAAAGGCAGTTTTGGAGCTGTCATCACAGCTGTTGAAAGGTCAAGTAGTTTTTGTGTGTGTGTGTTAGTGTGTGTGTCTACATATCAGATGTACTCTGCTGCAAATACTGAGGCAGAGAGACTCAATCACAGGCCAAACGAATAGTGTAACCCTGCCTCCATATTGCCATATTGTTTTTTTCGCACGCAGTCTGTTTTACCTCCTCTCACCTCGTCTTCAGTATGTATACAGCAGTGGATCAAATTACATCAGAGGCTACAGCTGCATATGTCTCCTTTAAACATCACACTCACTCTCGATTTTAATCCAATTATAATCGGACAATTTGTTCAAAACATAACAGGAGTTGATTGCTGCCGGATATGTGCTGTTTATCCTCCCGAGAAGGGAAGATGAGACAGCACTGAGACCACCCACTTGGACTGGCAGACCACGGCTTGCAAAGCCACAAGCCCCCTCTCCAACCAGATAAATCTGTGCTTTCATGAACCACATGAGAGGGCTGTACATCTGCAGAACATTTCAGGCTGCATATGGTCTTAGTGCAACTCGCAATTTAAACATCAGAGAGCTGTGAAGTGGTGGAAATTAGGGATTTGGGTTGCGGATGATGGAAAGTTGTGTGGTTACGAAAACAGGATGAGTGAAGGACGGTAATTCATCTGAGTGGGGTGGATAACACAAGACACCTGTCTGCTCCTTCATCCTGTCTGTCTGTGTCTCGATTACAATCTCCACTCGTTTCAAAGTGTGGCTTTAGACAGAGCTTGTCTTTCGCCATCAATAACACACACCTGTTTAGGGTGTGTTGGGGGTGACTCATCATCCGTCCGTCTCTAACATAGACTAAATAAAGTTAAGGAATGAAAGTTGATGTTTCTACTTTTTTCTTGCTGCATTAGTTTGATTTATAACTGCGAGTCAGGCTGCATTGCACTAAAAATAACAAAGCAGCAGTAGCAGCACTCGCGGCCCTGTGATTGTATTGATTTTGATAGCCGGCCCCGGTGTTTGTGTGGCTTGGGGCGTATTTTATCGAGAGCAGTAAAATAACAAAGGAGATGGGCTGGAAGTTCTCTATGTATACCAATCAGAATTTATAAATTGCTCCATTACCTTTATTTCCCTTGGTTACTCTGGGAACATTAGCAATTATTCTCTCATGGGCTTGGCTCATAAAACTAATAATCTGGTGATTTAGTGCCTTGTGGCACGCTGCACCCAGTCTGGCCTGCTCTAATCCATTCATCTTACCACCTATTAGTTTTATTTTGGAGGGACAAATTGCGTTCCAAGAGAAAATGGGTCAATAGGTGTCCTCTATTAGAAATCGCTAACAATGTAACTGTGTTTTTCTTCAGTGCATATGTGTTTGGTAGTGTAGCACAGGCTGATTATCATTCTATTTGCATACCAGGAGGTAGCCTCAATTATCTTTCTTGGGCTGCATGACAAATTGCAAATAGCCAAGGTTATGTATTCAAACCCTAATTTATTCTGTTTGCTTCAGAGCTAGTGTGGGTGTATATTGGCTTGTATGAGTGTGAATGCATCTATGCACACCTGTATGTGCTGCAAAATGAAGTCACCAGTGTTTCGCCTCTGTTTTTTTTTCCTCTTTCAGTGTGTGATCATGGAGATGGATGTCAGGGCCTGTGAGCTGAGAGGTCTTTTGCTGCATGGTGGCTCCGTGCCGCTGTACCATTAGCAGGCCCCCGGGGAGAGAAAGACCCCGAATCTGGAGAGACAGACTCAGATTAGATTATAAATCACCACCCTGGGGACCCGAGCAAAATAGTGACATCATCACTCCAAGACCCTCTGTCCTGAGATCTGGCTGACGATGCAGTCCAGCAGCAGTTGCTTACAGCTGATATGAGCTGGCAGCAGACTGTGGCACAACACATTCGTCTCAAACTGCCAGGCTTATTCAACATCTGTGTCACCTCAACACCTTTATCAGTTCTGTGACATAATCTGTTTATTCATTCAATACTGCAGAGCTTATTTTTCTTTTTCTTGAAGATAAGAATGAGCTTTAGTACACAGTGGAAACATAACACATGTATGTTTTTTGACCGATAGGAGCAAACATATTCTCACTCTGTCACAGCTCAAGTCCTGCAGTGTTTCTGCTGCTGGCTGTGAAGTAGCTGTGTGTTAAGCCCACTGTGTAGTCAGGTCTGTAATAAGGCCTGTAGATCCTTCCCGCCCTCCCACATACACACACACACTCACACTCAGAGGTCTGTGGTCACACAGCTGGCCCTGTCTGGCCAACCACTCCAACCTCACCACTTCCCCTCTCTGGGTGGGATGACAGACACAGGGAGCAGGGAGGGGAGAAGGGAGGGAGGAGGCCCTTCTTGCTCTCCAGATGTGGCCGGCCTGTCTGTCTGCCTTGGCTGTACATACAGTAGACAGACAGTGAGGTGTTAAGACAAACAGGGAACAAGTGTTTTGTGTATCCTAAAATGAACCTCTCACAGTCACATGGCACCTTGGTGGCCCCTGGACTATAGAGTCCATGTCCCCATCAGCTGGTCAGTTCTTCTCTCATCAGCATACACATTGTCACATAGCTGTAACACAGACGTTTATCCAAAGTGAGGCACGCTGTCCACTATTATCACTATCATGGCACACAGTGCTCAGCTGACGGTGGAAACAAATGCTACGGGCTGAACACTTTGGACTAAATGGAAGTTGACAGTTTTAATTCGGGTCCCTTCAGGGACTCACTTTAACTGGCTGAGAGGAGCCGTCTCCCACAGTACACTGCAGTCCTGCTTTATTAGTCCATGAAGGGTGGAGGGGATGCATTTGTCACATGAGAGGAGTCATCACGGTCCCCCAGCGGGCGGCCTCTGTCCCCAACAGGCTCTGCTGATGTAATCTGCCAGACTTAAACTTACATTTACACAGAATCCACAGATGCGATAAGAGGCCCCAAGGCCGGCTTATCTGCAGCTATCAGAGGAGAGGAGCCGAGCCAACTTTCCCTCTCCTTCTCCCCCTGTGTCCTGCAGCCCTGCTGCTCTGTCAGACTGCTGCAGATTTGTGTAATGACATCAGAGGGAGACTGAGGCCTGGCGACAGTGGCCCAAAGGCGCCCGAATCGTAAAACCTAATTGGTGGCTGTCGTAAGTTAACTACATAGCAAATTTCCACATTCTCCCTGTGCTGCTGTAGTATTTGAGTGGCTTTGAGCTGGGAGTAGCTATTTGAAACTGCTTGTATCATTTGTAAGCAGCTTCTGTATATGTGAGGTTTGCATGCAGGGAGAGATTTATATGGATTCTTAAGGACAAACAACAATGCTACACACCTTTATTTATTCTGCAGAGCAGTCTGTAACCTTTGCTCAGCGTATTGTATGCTATACTTCGCCTTGTAGTGAGGTTCAGGGAACATGAGGAAAGGTAATAGGGACATAATGAGGGGAATGATGAGTACATTTATGGAGGATCTTTGGCTCTCTTGCCTGAGGAACCATTATAATGATGTGTAGACTGCATTGGTTACACAGCCATAGTCATAGCACGCAACCACACTACCTCTCCCACTACGCCACAACATTCAAAAATACTGAGTTTGGCTCAGCCAATCAGCTAGCTTCACTGCCCAGGGGTTAAGCGGCTTCCCAACCTCAAAGCGAGGGGTCAGTGTGGAGGAAAAACATCACACAAGAGCCACAATTGCAGCCCTCAAACATGAAAAGTCTCTTTTTATTTTTGACAGTCTTCCCACTTTTAATGGCCGGGTCTATGTGCTGCGTAAACAAACAGTGAGGCTCGGTCTGCATAGGCAGCCAGCAGCGGTGGCTTTGGTGGTGAGCTGGATTACAGGCTGCGATGGAGCTGTGGTTACAATGGCACACTGAGCTCCACTCAGCCTCTGTGACAGTCAATCGAGCTCTCTCCTACTTTCTAACAGCTCAGTGGTGACTGCAACATTTCCAGATGTCAGAGCTGTGGCTTCTACAGGAGCTGATTCACGCTGTAGGCTCAGTTAGGTGTAAAATATATCCTGCATTTACTGTTGAATAAAGGCTACTGAATTGATTTCAATGGGCACATGATAGACACATTCAAGTTAAAATTCTGGACCTCATATCTGTGCTTTTTTACCTGCAGCAGAAGATATGTTCTTCCTTTTTGGGCAATCTTGAGTCACTTTTTGAAAAAATATACAAATAAAACTAAATGCAGAGTCAGAAGTTCCCTGTTTGCAATAATGTATATATAACCCACTCCTACTTGTGTTTATGTTTGTGTATGTGTGTGTGTGCTGCTTTGATGGATCAGCGTGTGTTTTCTTCCCCTATTCCAGCTGCAGCACCTCCTTTTTCCAACACTGCTTGTGACAGTCAGTTTAATTAGTGCCAGCAGGTCCTCCCACTAACTGTAACTTCATTAGCTGCTGTCAACAGGCCAAGCAAGGCTACACATAAACACAGCTCATTATGACTCTGCCCTATCTTTTGTCTCCTCCTTGCTTCAGTATCCCACACTATTTATCTCCCTCTCTCTCTCCACATATGCATATATAAATCTCACACCATAATGAGGGTCCTCCAGTTGGGATGGATGTAGAGTCATTTTTCTTTCCCTGTAAGCAGCATGCAAAGGCCAGGCTTTGTTCCCCCTCTGAAGGTGGAAATAGCTGAGCGTTTCAAGTGGAAATTCAGCCTTTTGGGGTTATTATCCAAACACAACATGTGATGGTTCATGTCAAGTGGGTCTTAATCCTTAGACGGCAAACTGGAGACAGTCAGGTTAAAAGAATCCATGTAAAAAAAAATCTATCTGATAATGATTTACTCTCTGACCCATAAATCTTAAGAATATCACATATTAACCGTACAGCTCACATCAAAACGCATTGATTGACCACTGCGTGATATCCAGCTTCAAGATCGATGTTTCCTAACGAGGATCTGTGGTGTTCAGAGGAGGATTTTCTCATCCCTGACTGTGGTTCTGGCAGCGGGTAAGAGACACCGTGCCAGTAAATCCAATCTCGGCCTGCTGAGGAGTGATTTATGAAAACGCTCTCATGACTTCACTTTCTTTTCCTGAGAGCTGTGTAAATGACATGTAAATCTGATCATTTGCCTGGTCAATTATCCTCCATCCTTACTCTTGTTGGCTGGCATTGTGCAGTGTTTCAGCACTGTTTGGCTGCTGATAGAGAGATAACCCCAAGCCTTGTTAGATTCCTGACAGGCGCGGCGTGTCAGTCTGTGGTTCTGAATCGTCCCTAATCAAAAAATCTCTTGGAGCGAGCCGCTTGATTCTACAGGGCTGAGCGTCATCAAAGCCTTTCATGTTCTCTGGCTGAAGGGAGAGACAGGGTAGAGGAGAAAGCTTTAGCAGGTACACTGTGCTCTTTGTTTACCCTTTCTCTTACCAATCTGGTGCACAGATGGCCAACAATTATTTCTCTGTGTGCGCATTGCTGCTGGCGAGCCACCAGCTTTTCAGAGATTGGTGTAATCCTTTATTATTTATGATTGTCTGGGATTTTTGGATCAAGATTGAACACAATCTGTTGAATGACTGAGAGGAGTGGGAGGCAGTGAAGCGAAATGAAATGCAAACAGAGAGAGTGGAAATGGAGAAGTCAGGGCATCCATAATGAAGATGTGATGCTCACTGTTAGGAGAGCTGCTCCTGAATCCAGCACACTCTAATCCCATTAACACTGACTAAATATACCATTTGTTTTAAGCTTGCCAGTGGTGGTGTTTATGCTAATAGCCTGGTCGCTGCAGGCGTTTTCAGAAGACTTTTGGAGGGCACCGGCTAATAATTAGATTTAATAAGGAAGTCAATTTCTATCCTCATTTGAAATAAAAATAAGAGGCTTAGCCTCTCATAGGACAGGCATTAATTTGTTGATTTGGTCTCGCGTTCTCTCTCAGGCTGCAGGCTGCAGAATTCTTTAACCCTTTTCTGTCCTTGTTCAGGGAACCAAATACACATTTAGTGATATTCTGGGAACTTTTAACACAAAATTTTAGAAGATGAGAAGATGAGTCTAAGTAAGCTATTTATTAAACAAGGGCTTGAGTACAAATGTGTGGCACCGGTACTTCACTGAAAAGTTGACATACAATCTGTATGAGCTCACTATAAAATATGATGAGCTGTTTGAGACTAGACAACATAATGTGCAACAGTAAAACACAAAAGTCACCAGTTACAATCCAACCGCACAACAACAGCTCAACAACTGAGCTGCTAGTTTTTCTAAATCATGTTTTTACTTTTAATAACCTTATCAAATATTGATGCTGAAACGTAAAGCTGTTATAAATAAGACTACAGTAAATCGTATGCCTTTTAATTTGCTATGAAAGCAAGTGAGGCCAACAGCATACAGATTTCAGATGACAATAATATATAACCGGATGAAGCAAGTATCTTAGCAAAGATACTGGATAAGTGAAATCCTGGGTTGTCAAAAGAAAACAGGATATTTCTTAGATGAATAAAACTTCATGTGTGAGGGCTAAAACCAGCTAAGAAATGAAAGTTACTGCTATGGTACTATGGATGCCAAAACAGCCACTAGAACCAATGAAAATATTAAAACACTGTGGGGTAATTTTCTAACGTGAGGTTTAAACTCTTAAAGCTACATGTCTGAGTGATATTTAACTTTTGCACTTGATTGGAGAGGAGTTTGTGTCTTTTTAGACGACAGTAGCAACAAAAACAATGGAGAATAAAGTAAAATCCTTCAAAAGTCATCCCTCAAATTGATGATTACAAAGTATATTAGTGCCATTAATACTGGAGGGCACAGTAGTATTATAGTCCAGTTTCTGTTGCCGGTTCAGATGGACTTGTCTTACTGACTTTGTTTTCTTTAGACAGTCATCTGTTCAATTTTCAAGTTTAAAATGCCTCACTGAACACCTGCCCCCCTCAGAAGAAATCTGAAATGACCAAATAGAAATGACTGAAGTATCTTACTAATTTTAGTTTTTCCCAACCAGTTCAAAACTTCTCACAGGAGCTCTAAAGAATTATTTACGCTAAAATTAAGGACTTGAAAGCAAAAATCTTTAAGAAAGCTCTGTATTTTACAGTTACTTTTGAATTATGTTCATGTCAACTCAACTGTGCATCATATTTTCCACAAACATGTATAAGAAGGAAGAAGAGGATTAACTACTTTTCAACAATAGTGGAGTATAAGATTTGACTGTGTGCTGTATTGTGGTAGATATGGAGCTGATATATTCTAGAGAATACAGAGCGGCTGCTGCTCCTCACCCTGCTGACCAGCTGGGATCTGCTCTGCCGGGCCCGTGAGCCAGGTTCCAGCTGGAGGAGCTCTCTGATCTGCTGTCAGACAGACGGCGGGTTCACTCTCCCCTGCCCTGATAACTTCCTCAGCTCTCTATTATTCTTCTTCTCTACCCAGTAAAACATCTTTTTTTTTGTGCTCTCCCTTTCCCCTTGCTCTGTCTCTCTGTTTCAACTTAATAATGGAATCGAGTGCCCCTCCAGAGCAAGCAGCAATGCCGGCCGCTGGTGGAGAAATCATTTTCAGCAAGCATGTGTCAGTCAGCAGGTATAGGAGCACTTGTGGAGTCAATTTGGCATGGAGGAGTGGAGCTATATTACTGTGTGCCAGGGAATATGAAATGCTCCTCAGTGGGGCAGAAGTGCAGAAACACGGCATATGAGGACAGAAGATTGCAGCCTCAAAAGGAGGTATCTTTGATATGACACAGCTCATATTATCGTGAAAGAGCTAGTTGAAGAGTTGTACTTAACATTTATTATACTCTGTTCATCTCAACACTGACATCTCCACACTTATTCTGCCCTCTTTGCATCTCTGTTTTATGCTACTAATATTCACTCTCATGAGACACTTTGCTAACAATTCACAGACCCTGACTTTGGCACCGGTTGCACTTTTCCTGCACGGACTGTTACCTTGACAACATATTTTTCTTTCGAGACAGTCATGTGAAGTCATTCCCTTAGCATGTGAATGTAATCAGCAACCATAACTGAATTATGGCCTAAAGAATCCTTTTAATCATATTAGCCATTTAGCAAACTGGATTAGAGGAACAAAATCTTTGTTGAGCAGCTCAAGGTCTTCTCAATCAACTGGTACCGCTTGATCCTCTGATCAGTTTAATGCTGGATCCTTTCAGAGTATTTGTGTCCTGAATTACAAAGCATGTCCAAACGGGAGCTGGGAATGATTCAAAACATACGGGCTGTAATCTGCAGTTTGTTTGAATAATAAAAAGGATGCAGCTATGCATCTGAGCTGGGTGTGAGTGTTGAACAAGTTCTTGTTTTGATTCTGGGATTATTGAGTGTGAGTGAAAATGAGGTTTAGAGGGGCTGCTGCATGCCTCCATCTGCCTTTCTGATATGTTGATGATTTAAAGTGGAGGAGAATAAAACTGGCAGGTAACCTTGTGCTGTAACTTGAGTGTAGAACAATAATACTAATAATGATTATGAAAATAATGAAGGCAACAATACAGCTATGTGTTTTAAGCATAAGGCTTGCTGTTATTTGTTGCTCTGTGTATTAGCACCTTTTGGCATGTATGTAAACACAGCCAGGGACTGAAGAAATGAAAAGAGAGTTGAATAGACTTAACTTAACTTGAAAGATTTGATTTAATGGTCGCTCTTTTTATGTCGCTGTTGATCAATACATTATTAATACTACATTTAATCCCTGTATTTCAATGCTCACCATCATCCTGATGAGCTGCAACTGCGTACTTAGCTTGCAAGTAGCTCCAACTCAAAATACTTTGGTGTTAATATTATTCTGTTTGACATTATTTTTGACTCATGAACTGAGCCATCTGAGAGGTTTTCTTACAGTGAAATGTGCCTTTCACAGTACTGTCGTGTTGTTATTTTCCATCACAGCAGCAGCAGGAATCAAGCTGCCTCAGCTTCTTAACTACGCTGCACCAAAAAGGACATAATAGCATGTGGTTTTCTTTAGATTACATCTTACTTTTTGATTCTCATCACATATTGACTACTTCACACTAACAGGCCTTAATGATCATGTTTGAAACAACATTTCTATGACTATTTGACTGCTTTAAAACTGCTCTCTTACTGGCAGAAAGCAGTAAAGTTAAAATCATAACAGTGAAACATGGAATATATGGTGGACAAACCTTTAACATTGGCATATTTTAAGGCATTTTCTTAAAATAATCAATTTAAAGAAAATATATTTTGTTATTTGTTTTGTTAAGTTAGAGACTGGTCCTGAAAGAAACTGGGGAAAGTGAATCACTCATAATAGAATGTACATAACAAGTTCCTGTTGGTCTTTCCCAGAGTAAATGGTATGGCTTTTTACATATGATTACATTTAAGAAGTAAATATATAACTAGGTTCTCTGGAACACTCCAATCTAATCTGACTCTCATCTAACTCACCCGTGTACGACTTCCAGTGGGCTTTAAAATGAACTCACATTGAGTAAACGCTGCCATGCAGTGACAGGCAGGGTTATAAATGTCTGTACTTTTATTTATCAGTGAGAGTCTGTTGATAGCGGGGAATATTACTTTCATAGAGGCAATTGGCTCCATGTCCTCTTCTGCTGAGGGTTAAGTACAGCTGCGAATTCCTGCCAAAGACCTCGTCTTTTTATTTTGAGATACTTTTCATGTCTGCATTTTTCTCCTTTGATAAGGACTTTCATCCTGTTTTCATTGATTACTGTCTGATGACTCATCCTGATTATACAGTGCAGCCAATTCATCTCCCCACCACACACTGTGGGCCCTTTGTTGCCTGGAATGTGTCTGTGTATTTGTGTGAATTTTTGCCTCCCGCCTGTGAATGACGTTGTACAATGATACACAGTGCATGTGTTTGTTTGCGAGTGTGCAGTGCGTCCGTGTGCATCTCCATATAAACAGCACACCACAGTACCCTGAAGTGTACGTCGCTGCAATACAAAGCCTGCCTCTGCAGTAACAGGGCCCTCATTTTCTGCCTCGTGAACAGGAAAAGTAAGCCTGCATGAGAGAGAAAAATGGCCGAGTCATTTATTAACTGGGAGTCACATTAATGAGCCAATACTGTGTAATCTCCAAATACATTCATGATAAATAGCTCTACCATGTCGTTGATCTTAACCTTGTTCTGTGCCTGCAAAACTCTGATTTCAGAAAGTGCCTCAGTGGAGTATTTCTCACTGCAGTACATTTAGAGCGTGACATTTATGGCTACCTTTTTGACAATAAACTAAACGATAATTGTAATATGAAAGAAAAAACCTTGCTAAAGCTTATCTGGTGTGGAAAGAGAGTCGCAGTTCAAAGTGGCAGGAGTGAGGACAATCCCTGCTCTGTCAAGAATTAGAGCCACCTCTGCAAATAGGCCAGTGTGTAATGCCTGAGGGTGGGAGTTTCACTGCGGCTGGGGTTTCCGTGTAAATAAACAGTGTGGGGGTCTCAGTGGGCGGAGGGCCCCCTCTCTCCCTGGGGTTTGGCCCAGCCTTTTGTTGCCTTTAATCCCAGCACTCTCTATTGAAAAGCGTGAGGGGGTGCCTGGCTGAGATTAGCCCGCCGGCTCTTGTGTGTGCCTGAGTTTTTTTTTTTTTTCTCAGAGACTGCCTCCATACTTTTGGAAATAACACAGTTATCCCACATCCTCAAGGTGGCTGACAAGAATGACAAGTAAGACGGCTGCTGGGCAGTCTCAGGCCTTAATATGACAACATGACCTCAGTATTCCCAAAGCCCCTGCTATTCTGCATGTGAAACATATTCCTTATACAGGAATTGAAGTTGTTGATCAAAATTTTCTCATCAGGGATAACTGATTTAGCACAGTTAGTGTCCGATTATATGTGTAAAGACTCCACATGTCTTGTATCATGCTAATTTAGCAGCTTTGAGGTTTTGTTAAACATTCAAAGTCTTATGATAATACAATTTGTCTGTTTATGCATCTGCTGTTGTTTTTCTCCATTTCACAGGCTTGTGAACACAGCCGAGAAATAACATACAACTGATTTGAGATGCCTCTTTAGTATCCATTATCAATAAAATGTGATAATAAATGGCTTATGTTTTTTACTGTCTCTTGAATGTGGGCACTGCTTCCGAACAACATTAATATCAGGATACCACTCATTTCCAGGGTTAAAATGGGTCATTTGGCCCTTCTGATAAAAGGTAAACAAAGAGGCTTTTTTACTGCTTACCGCATACAGCCCTATGTAAAGGAAAACTACAGGTTGTAATGTTACAACTGTTTGCATGCTTCCTTTCTTCCTTTGTTTAATGTAGGCTCTCATTACCACGTGGTGGTAACAGATTGTTTGAACTGGAGAGAAAAGCCATTCGAAGCTAATTAAGCAGCCATTCCAGGCTCTATTCACAGGCAGAGGACCGAGGAGCACAGGCATTTGTCAGCGCTTGACCCCGCGTGGTATTGATTGACAACGCTGCCTCGTGAATGACAGGCTCGACACGGCTACACCAATGGGAAGCCGACGAGTAAGTGCACCGCGCTGCGATTGGACGAGAGGCCTTAAAGCCGCAGAGGAGTCCCACGTGGGGGCAGAGTTGAATCTTCAAAACAAGGCTGCTCTCAGACATGGCTGATGTTCATATCAGACAAAGGCAATCATCTCGTCTCCCCCCGCAGTGCAACTATTACACAAATGCTGATAGGTAGAGGCGCGCGGGCGTGTTGTGAAAGCAGCGCGAGATATTTAAGGCAAAATAATGCACGACGAGTCGGCACAATTGAGAGGATATCATCGATCGATTGGTCATTATTGTGTCCTTCACGGTGTATGGGGAGTTTAACCTGCACCTTACTGATACTCTTTGAGATTTCACAGCATGTCGCTTCACATTTTATAACACTAGTAAACAATAAAGTTCCGGTATAACCCTCTTTTTTCTCCTCAAACGGAGAGACAAATTCAAGACTCGTTGTTGCACCTAACACCTCCCTCCCTCCTTCCCTCTCCGTCCCGCTGGTGGTGGTCTCTCTCACCCCAAAACTCATCAACTTTATTTGTGCGGCTAAAAAAAACACCCTAATGAGAGGCGGATGTGGAATTTGTGCTGTCTCTGTCAAATTTGGATATCATCGTCGGCACATCAATGCCTGCTGCCGCTGCTGCTGCTGTTGTTGTTTTACATGGTGGGACGGACGGATGATGCCTTGTGGATCCGCGGGATGATGTCATGTATCGTTGCACCCCACGTGGGGGCCGTCGCTCTCCGATAGGCAGATGTGGCCGTATTCCTTCCGAGTAATCCGATTGGACAGATAGGCTCTTTCACGGCAGTTCAGCCCTGCTGCCTGTGTGTGGCAACCGGGGTAAGCTGGACAACTGGGGGAAATGCGAGATTGTGGAGAGTACCATGTTACGCTTTTAAAGAATCTCCAGCTTCTTCGAGTCGGAAGACAGATTTTTTGGAAGCGTATTTATGTATTTTCTCTCTCTTTTTGGGATTAACCAGCCACAAAAGGCGCGCGTTTCCTCGGAGGGTTCGCGGCTGAGAATAAAGTAGTTTAATCGAGCCCGACCGCACCAAATTTTCTCCCAACTGCTCCCTCAGTGTGGCGGGGTGCGCTCCGGAGAGAGAGAGGATGCTTGTCGAGATCTGCGTCCACCACCACGCTTACATTACGAGGGATTAAACGCATGAATTATAGCCTACTCTGTTTTTCTTCAGGAACAAAAAGTCGCACGGACGGGCAGGATACGCACACGGGTATGTATTTACCAGAGCTGTTGATTTCTTCCTTAGTGTGTTTTCTTTCTTGTTTGGGCGTAAGCTCAAACAGCGCACCGTTTCCATCGCTCTCCGCAGCAGAGTCAAACAGGAGGTGAAGCCAGCTGCCCTCGGCGCTGGCCTGCCTGGAGTGGAGGTCTGTGTTCATTTGACGGACAAAATGTAAAAGCGATAGATCCACAAACTTGCGACTTCTACGCACGCAGTTGCATTTTACGCAACAGAACTGGCACCTTTATTTGTTTGGTGTGTTTTGAGTAAGGTTTTGTTTTGAGTGTTTCGCTGGCCACTGACCGAATAAGGTCAACCAAGAAGACAGGAGCGAGGGTCTTTTGCTGATTTTTTTTTTGAGAGCCACTTTGTTTTTTCCTGATTGTCTTCAAACATCGTGTATAAAAAAATGTTGTTCTGTTTTAAAGCCTTTAGATTAAAACGCGTCATCTTTCAATACAGGATTTTCACGACCTCCTCCCCCCCTTACCCCCACCCTTGTCTGCTGAGACCGGTGAGGCTGTGAGTACATTTCAACCATTTTGCCAAAAGACCTGCACACTGGAGACATAAACAAAGGATACATTACAAGATGTATCCACAAGGCCGACATCCGGTAAGAAGCGCTTCCTCTACACTTACTATAGCTGACATATTTATCTTACAACACCGATGTTGACATTGTTCCTGACTGTGCTTCCCCCCCCATCTGAAGTCAGCCGCACAAAGCGTTTTCCACCTTTCATACAGCTCATCACATTTCAATATCAAAACGCATTTATGCTACACAGAATCTGCACTTAGTGGTAAATGGAGGCAGATGGTTTGCATGCCTGGAGATGTTCACTCAGCCATACACTAACATATGACTGTGCTGAGTAAGAAAAGCGCAGTTCACTTTTAAAATCACATTTCATTTTCAGTGTGAAAACCTATTCATGTAGTGTTATTAGCTTCTGGAGGTGTGAAGCAGAGCCACCTCTTTTCTGTGGTAATGTCTTACTCACCGGTGCAGAGGAGATATTATCCTGAAAGTAGTCTATAATGTGAGAACTATTCAGCTCCCCTCAGCAGCATGGGGCACACAATGCAGGAAAAAAAGATGAATAAAGTTTTCTGTGACTGGACTGATGTGATTTTCTTTTCTCTTTTACAACCTCCTTTCAGGCGCCGCATCAGCCTGGCCAGCCCGGCTTCAAATTCACCGTAGCCGAGTCTTGTGACAGGATAAAAGACGAATTTCAGTTCTTGCAAGCCCAGTATCACAGGTAATGATTGAAACACATCGTTTTATGGCAGTGTCAACAGTCACTCCTCGTGTAAATGTAATAGTTCAGGCTAATATTTGGTTGTTGACTCCTGCTGGAATGAAAGATGACTTTGCTGCCAATTGGTTAAGTAGGATTGAGTTATTAAAGTGATAAAGATGCCTGAAATTGACACCTTGTCTACTATTTTAGTCTTAAGGTGGAGTACGACAAACTGGCCAATGAGAAGACGGAGATGCAGCGCCACTATGTCATGGTAAGATTATGTTACAATAGAGCCAAATTATAGGTCCAAATTTGCAAGGCTTGTTGAAGTTGTAGTCAGGGTGGAACAAGATCAGCTATTGTGATCACCTGTGTGGTTGTTAGGGCGGGTTGAGTGTCAGGTACAGGCCTGTGAAAGCCCCCAGGGGGGTTTGATGTGGCTGGTTGTTGCAGCAAGCTCTTCCTGACAGGCGGGTGGTGGGCGGCAGTGGGCTGGAGCTCCATTATAGCTTGCCCCTGATCTCCTAGGGTCGAGCGCGGCATTGCCCTCTGTGCGTGCTGATCTGATTATTCTCCTAGGAGACTCCACGCTCACACATATGCACGGCCATAAATTAGGTGTGAGCTGATGGTGGAGGGCTGGAGCAGTCAGTGTGGGAAAATGCACCACAGCAAACAAAATGGAGGACGCGAAGAACATGCTGTAGTTTGTTGTGCACTGAAGTAGCCCAAATTATTAGTTATGTTTGAGCTGCAGAAAAACATAGGTGTGCCAGGGTATGATGCAGGAATTTAGCTGAGACATGATGCAATCAGAAGGTTTCCTCTGTGGCTGCGTGCCCTGTTGTCCCAGGTAAACACACCGGGGATGATTTAAACCAATACATGCGAGCTTAAGTTAAACATTCTTCTCACAGGAAAACAACATGTCAGCCTGACAGGAGGGAGGTTAGGCAAACATGTAGGGAAGTATCCCACAGCCAGCAGCAGTGTCAGGTTACACTTCGGCTGCGAGGCTCTGATCTCAGACAGAATGGCTCTCTTGTTTGAGAGTAATTTTCGAAGAAGCTAATGGACTGAATAATGCATTGGCCTCATCAAATAGACGCTGACTGGAAAGCCATTTCTGCCCCGACTGCCACTTGTGGGCTCTACGGATTACATTTCAGCCAGACAGACTGACCTGGCCTGAGATATCAAGAGTGTTGAGCAATTGCGTTACGCTAAGTAAACAGACATCCTGGAGATCTGAGGGCTTGAGGTGATGATCAATAAATCTGACCCTTTCTTCTCTGTGCCCTCACTATAAACAGCAAAACATTGATTTATTGACTATCCGCTGTTAACTGCTCAATGGACTTCCTTTCCATCTGATCAAAGTTTTTCACAGTTCTCTGCCGAAGCCTGATAGTATTAAGATTGTAATCAAAATGTTTGAAACCATTCGCTGATGTAATTAGTGGAGTGAACAACTCAAACATGAATTTGTGGTTATAAACAGCAGCACGTTACAGATGTGATTATGGGTGCAGTTCATTAAATGTTGGCAAAACTTGATTGTAATTCTGACTTCTATGTGTTTATTAAGCACAATTGTTTCTTTGCTTTCCTTTCAGTATTACGAGATGTCCTATGGGCTGAACATAGAGATGCACAAACAGGTAGGTACCATCCTGTTCATCATATTTTGCAGCTCAGTGGTTTTCCACAGTGTCAGGGGGTTGTGAGACCCAGGGGGGAGCTGATAGACTGTGTACTGAGCAGCGCTAATAGGCTGTAAACACACAGATTTGCTGCACACAAACAAGACAGAACAATTGCAAACTTGTACCTCCACTTGAGCAATTGCTGTGAATGTTTTTGTTACACTTGCCGTGGTGTAAAGTGTGGATTGTCTCAGCATTGTCATTAGATTAAAGGCAGACTTTGGCAGGCTGATTAAAGGGAGAGGATTGCTGATAGGTCAGTGTTTCTTCTTTACATGAACAGTCATTACGAGACAGGGGCTAAAGTCCCTTGGTCACTGAATGGGCCCTTATCTTTATCAAAAAGATCCTCTATCTGCTGTTGCTGCTTAGATCAATCAATCCGAGGCCCATAGAGATAAAGATTGTAAGAATAAGTAACCCTGAAATTCCCATGCATGCGGCTCTTAAACCAGTGAGGCCGTCCCCTTTCCTGCCACAGCCCAGCTTGGTTAATGACAGCGTTGGCAGCATGGCAGATTGGTGCGGTGTAGTGATCTATCAGTGTCGGGGGACCGTGTGTCACACTGCCTCGTGTCTGTCAGGGCTCGAGCCGCTCTGATAGCCTCTGTCAGGCACTTATCGCCAACCAGGAGAAAGAGGTGGGGGATGGGAGCCGGAGAGACATGTAGGGGAATAGAGCTGTGGGGGAGGGGCTCGACAGCCCAGCTCTGTGTAAACAGGTTAATCGACTGATCCATTTTAGCGCCTGACTTTTATCAGGAACCTCAACAGAGCTGATGGAAGTGCTTGAATAATTCATCAGTGGGGCCCTAACCTGCTGAACGGCGTGTTTGTGAGCAAACAGTGTGGGCCCCATCCATGCAGCGACCCTAGCTTACAGCTTGGATGGAGGAGGGAGAGGAGGAGGAGAAGAATAAGAAGATGGGGAGTGGTTAACAGTCAGGGTTGGGATGGATTATTGGATGCACATAGGCATATTATTTCCCTGCCAGGAGATTTATTCCACAGTGAGGAAATCCATTCCTCTTACTGTGCCTTTTTCATTACTGTGCAGGAGCATAATTCAGGTTTCAGGATGCACACACCGACACAGCTAGAGCGGATGTGGCAACGAAATATCTAATCCTGCTCTCTCAGCCATCACTATATGTAGATATAAACAGCCAATTTCTGCTGCAGGATGTTAGGCAGTAATTACCCTCATCTGGTGCTTGTTTTTCAAGAGCTGTGCAAATCTCATTCCCATTTGGCTGTTACCTGTACTCCTAACTCAGAAATAAAAGACCTATGGCTCTGAGAGTCCCTAAGTAGCAAACTATCTGCCATACACGAAGCCAAAGGAAACTTTGTCAGCCAGCAGACTTCTGCTGTTTATACAGACGAGGTGTGCAGTGAAATGTGGTTGGACAAACTGTTGCTCTCCAAACCATCAGCGCTCCCACATCACCAGTCTGTCATGTCGGGCTGGACTGGAGGGTAATGATTACAGGGTGTGAGCTCCTGGATGTCAGGTCCACTTAAAAAACCAGAAAGTATTGTTTTTTTACAGTGCAGAAGGCTGTGGTTCTGGGATGTTTCTGTAGGAATGATTATATTGTTTTTACATCGCGTTTGCTCTTAAAATCACCTGACTGACTGATGTATCTGACAAGCTTAATTACAGTCGTGACTCATGTGTCCACTTAAGCAGGCTTTTGGTCTTACTTCAATCAATACAGATAACTTAAAATGCCAATTAGAAAATGTGTTCTGGACTTTCCTCATATTAACAAAGGCTCTAGGGTTTTTTTTGCTACATCTCAGTTTAATGAAAATGTGCCTCATTTTCTGGCTTAGATGAGCAGCCAGTGAAGTGTTAGTCTAATTTTCCTCCCACTACAAAAACCAGAAAAAAGGGGTGACGCTGCCATCTTAGACAAATTGGGGGCCTTCGAAATCTGACAAGTCAAGTATTGTTTATGGATGGATCATGTGGCCAGCACTGCCAGTGGTTTCTCCCTCTGTATTTAATACTCATCAGTGTCTCAACTCTATTTTCCCACTGCTGATAGCAACAGGCGAATGAATACCTTTCCGCACGCTATTGACAAGCCAGCCTGAGAGTGCTCTTAAAGTGGTGCTACACAGGTCCGAGTACCTGTAATTGTGTAGCAGCAGCGCAAATCTGGCCTCTCAAGGGCCAAGCTGTCATCTACTTAAAGTGACAACAGCCCCATTTTTATCTGCCTGCAGAGCAAAAAAAAAAAAAAAAAAGATCCTGCCTGCACTGCACTGTATCTATATTGACAGCAGTAGCGAGCTGAGTTGATGCGTTTTGCGTGTATTTGCATGTTGTGTGGTGAGAGTGTAGAGGCTGCCAGTTGTTTAGGGCACAGCGGATCAGCAACCTCCTGACCTCTCTCAGCCAGCTGTCACCATGACACTAAGCTACAGAGGAATGGACTGTGCGCTCAAGGCCTTTTCGCAAATCCTGTCAAATGTTCGACTGCTATTGACATGGCTTATCTCTACAAACATGGATTATACAGGCTCTGTAGCTTTTCAACTATTTCTGAGGGCGTTCTTGAGCTCTTGCAAGAGCACTTACTACATTGTATTAATACTAATGCCCATAAAACCTTTATCTAACCCTCCGGTGCTTTATTGGTTGTAGGTCACATTTATTGTGAGTGAGAGGAGATCGGAGTCCAGTGTCCGCAGACAGTAATCAAGTTATAATAGGTGTTATCACAGTGGACTGTTGTACTTTGTATTGCTTATGTTGCCTCATATTTGATCCACATTATTGCCTCTGATCCAAGGCTTTACTTTGTTTCATGTGATATTTCATCTTCGGTTTGCTGTTTGTCAGGCAGGCTTGCTCGGCTAAGTGGCTGTCCATGTTGCAGCTTGGGTCAGCAGGTCCTGTTCTGTTGGACATTATTCTCCAATCTCTCTGGCTCTGCTCAGAGGTAATACGTCTGGCTGCCAAAACTGCCTGGCATTTCTGCCATGTGTAATAAATAAGCTGGCGGTCTGCAAAGTACATTGTGTGTGCTGCTCCAAATGAAAAATCGGAGAAAATCCCTGTGATGTGTTTGTGTTCCACAGTGGCCTTGGGTTGAACTGCAGCTCATAAATTCCATAGATGATGGAGCTTTGGCACTGTTATTTTTCTGCTCCCAGCTCAGAGCTTCAACCTGAGAGTCTCATCTCCCATCTCTGGAAGAAGAAAGAGGCAGAACAATCTGGCTATATATACAGTGTTTTTACAGGGGGGGTGCACTAACCTCTTTCCATTGCTCTCCTTTCTTATCCACCATTCATTTGCTACGTTCATGTGATCGACAGGCTGAAAATTCAATTTAATGACCTGCCTTCAAGCCCGTAATATGATTTTAAAGCCTGTTACGGTCAAGCAGAGGTGCCATTTGCATAATGATCCCAGCAAGATAGGGCTGCAGCCGTTGCCATGGCAGTTGGTAGACAAGCGGAAGAATGGAGGCAAGGCTGTGTGCATGGATGGGAAGTTGGGAGGGCGGAAGGCTGGGCGGCTGATTGCGGCAAGGAGTAGCTCAGGGCTTTGGTCTTGGAAAGGCAAAGCTCAAACACAGTGCACACTGGTAGCTGTCTTCTAATGGTATTGATCATAGCTTTGAGGTGCTCTTGGGGTCATTATGGTTTGTAAAGTTTGCTCACTCTGCAGTTCTGACCCTTAATGTAAATTGCCTGCATTGTCACATGTAAGTAAACAGTGCAGTCTGGTTAGCAGGCCTTGCTTCCTGGGGTGCGGTTGTGTGGTTTAACTCTGAGGTTAACTGCAGGACAGCGCAGTTGCAGATGAGAGGAAGGAGGGCAGACTGAGAGAGGATCCTCTCAGCACAGCAGCACTCTGCCTGCTCATATCCGTTTAGCATGGAGTGCACTCTCAGCACAGCTGTGCTCCATCCCCCTGGGCTCTCCTAATGTTTTAAATATTTCAAATGTCAATATCACGCTGTTTAGAGGATGTTGAGTCAAGCAGTTCTGATTGCCGCAGTAATTGACTTAATCGGTGTAAACATTAAAGGCGGGGTTAGATGAAGTCACTGTCTGTGTCATACTTTATCATCTCATTTTGATCCTCTTTTGTTTTTCAGACGGAGATTGCCAAACGTCTCAACGCAATTTTAGCTCAAATTATGCCTTTCCTGTCTCAAGAGGTGAGTTTTGAACATAGCTAAAAGTGTCACTAAAAATACAGTCACTTATTGTTTCCTGGATTTCAAAGACTCGACTTTTAAAAAGATGTCAAGTTAAGCAATTTTGAGTAATTGTTCGTGGCCCTCTCTTTGAAAACTAGAGCAGCATTATTAAAATAAGGTGTGAAATTCAATTAGATTAGAGTGGGTGTGTGAAAGAAGTTGACATGCCTCAATCTTTTTTTGTAAATGTCTCCCCACAGCACCAACAGCAGGTTGCTCAGGCAGTGGAGCGGGCAAAGCAGGTGACTATGACCGAGCTGAATGCTATCATCGGGGTACGTGGACTTCCCAATCTGCCTCTCACCGTGTGTATACCCCCTTTTATTCCTTTATTTGACCTTTTTATTTGGGACAATCTTGCACATAAGATAATCAATAGCTATAAATCTTGCTTTTCAGTGTCTTTTTTTAAGTAGTCTGAACTGTTGGGTAAATACAATGTGATACACCAAACACTGGAGTAGAATATTAGATTTTCATCTTTTTAATCAAAGGTTTATATATATTTTAGTACGCATTTCTGTTCCTTACTCAGACTATATGCATCACAAATGCGGCTCCAGAGAGCTGGTCTTATGCTCCGCCTTGGTCTCTGTGGCATCTTCACTGCCTTGTTGTGTGTTTATAAATGCAAGCCTGAGAGCTCTCGAGATCCCCTTTGCAGCCTGTATTGCTTTAATTGGCAAAGGTTTTAACGAGGAGCCTCATCCCTCATGCTGACCTGGATAGCTGTGGGAATTAAAAGGCTGAGGGTGAGCAGAACACAGCCTGCGCTGCAAGTTATCAGATACGGTACCAACAGCGGACAGCCATCAGGGCTCTGAAGCACAGCTCTCTTTGCTCACTACAGCACTGAGCAGTAATGTGTGGTGTTCATCCCCGCTTCAAAACACCATCTGCTCCTCATTGATCAGCTGTACTCACCCTGCCCTCGTAAAACTGAACTGATGTGGTGTCACCCTCGATCCAATGTTCAGACTATTGGTGACCTTATTACTATGGTTGAATCTTGCAGAGTCTTCAGCATGCAGGAGAGGAAGGTCCAAAAGGCTGACTTTATTGGAATTCAATTAATGCCCCCTGTGTGACCTTTTGTTCCAGGGTAATTGCTGAGAATCTACCTGAGTAGATGTCTCTCAAAATGATGGAGAGCCTTTTGTTTTTAAACATCTACTTAGGCGGCTGCTGTGTTACCCTTCCATGTCCATGTCAGCTGTAAACAGCCTTTGTTCCAGGGAAAAGCTGCTTTGATCTGTTGGTCTTCCTGTGTATGCCGCTGTTAAACTACAATATTTAAATATGCAGTTCTTTGAAATCAGTAGTTTCTGTCCTTTCACTATTGCTCTCTGTTGACTTCCGTTGGATAAGTCTCATTGAGAGGGAACAACTTAAGTAGTTAAGCCGAAACTAGTCCTTTGATAAACAGATAGGCTATTCTCAATGAGCAGGAGACAAAGCTGGGGAGTCAGTCCAGGAGAGGTGCTAAGATGGTGTCTGTTACCGTCTGTCTGTTACTGGTTCAGCAATGCTTTGTTTGCTGACTTACCTGTTGTTTCATTTGTGTCTGTATCAACTAATTGATCATACTTAAGTGGATAACCAAGTGTAGATGGAGAGGCAAGAGATGAGAGTTGTTCCTGATGTTCTGCGTATTTAATAAGGGTGGGAGAAAAAATCGATACAGCATAGTATCCCGATATTTTGTCTAATGATATATCGTATCGTCTCATTTACTAAGTATCGATTTTTCAAATTAATTGCTAATATGAAGTCAAATCTATGATAATGGAAAAATAAAACCAAGTGTTTGTCCGGTGAGGTTGGCAAAGGTGACCTCACAGAGTAGGAGAAAGTTTGTGCAACAAACATATATATATAAGGTTTGCAAGATGTGCTACATGAAGATAAAATACAGTGTAAATAAGACAAACATAAAGGAAAGCCAAATGGTAAATTAGCTAAACAGCTGAAAAAATTGTACAGATCGCAGTATATTGCATCACTGTATTGCAGAATGCTAAAAACTGCAACAATATCGTACCGTGGCACAAGTATCGTGATAATATCGTATCGTAGGGCCACGAGTGATTCCCACCCCTAGTATTTAATCCATTTCATCATTTACTTTGTCTAGTAAACAAAAATAAACTTATTATCATTATAGATCCACATTTTAAGAACTATTAGATAACTCCATTCATGACATAAATATGTGGTCCTTTTATTTTACTAGAGTCATAGGCCTCCACCTAAACCAGTTGGGGTGCCTATGTCTGAGGAGGTGGAAATGTAGCTACTCTATGTTTTACGAATGTCTGTCTATTAGTTATTCATTGAGGAGAAGCTCTGCAGGCATGCCAAAATCCTCATGCATATTGTAAAGCAAGGTGGGGTGAAAGAGCGTGCCAGGCAGACAGGCAGCATCCAGGAGCCAGCTGCATGCCTTATTGATGGGACTGAGGGCCATTAATAGGATGCAACTAGGGCATCTGCTTGTGAGGAGATGAACCTGACAGGGGTTGCTTCCTGTTTGATTAGAAAACACACAAATACTGAACTCAGCTGAGGAACAGTCTAGTCAAGAACCTTTTTCGCAGTGAGTGACAGCTGTGGTAAACCACACGGTGTCTTTGGAAAAGTGGTTTGGTTGGTCTGATGCACCATCATTTGCAGTAAAAAATGATGGTGAGAGGACAGCTGTAGCTCTGACCTTTTTGTCCAATTTCAGCAGCAGCAGCAGGCTGCCTACCAGGCTCTCGTGATCAGTGCCCTCCACAAGTATCTGTATGTGTGTGCTTTTGTCCGTGCACTCGGAGTGTTTGTTCACAGTTGGACTTAAAGTGGGTTTGCATGTTGTGTGACACTGTCCCTGATCAAGCACAATACATTTCACTGTAGTCAGTGCACTAAGTACACTTGAAACTACTACAATATACAATTTGCTTTATTTTGCCTTTGTCTGTGTTTTTACAGTAGCTGTGCACACTAGAAAAGGGGCAAAGAGTAGGTCTTTATCTTGGAATATTAAATTAGAGGAAATAGGCCAGACTCCTTTCTTTATTTATTATTGTCTTCATTTATGGCCCTCTAATGAGGGCTCTCGCTGATCAACCATGCATATTACCCATCAGTGCCTCATTAAACACAATGAGCAAGGATGGCTCTCCCTTGCCAATGAACTGGCTCCTTAATTTCCCTCATGGACACAATATTATGACACACTCCTTCGCTCTTTCTCTCTTCCTCTCTGTCTGTGTGTTCGGGGTATATTTTGTAATTGGATTGACATCTGCCCTATGGAGCAAAGGACATAGTTGGAAGTGAAACCTTGAGATTATACCAATCTCATATTCTCTGCCTTTGGGGCAGATATACATCAGAGGGCAATAAGCAATTAAAAAGACCCTCCAGGTATGATTTCTCAAATACTACATTTTAGTACTATTTGTCCTTTGAAAGATCTGAGATGGAATTTTCTGAAAAATAAGAACTGTAGTGCAAGTTCCTACAGCCAATGTATTTTTCCGTGTAAGTCTGGCTCACCTCATTGCTCTGTGTGTTGCACCACCTCCCCAGTCATTACAAAGTGCCTAATATTCCTGAAATGGCCATAAATGGCCCCTGATTGAAGTGGGCCTTGTAAAAGAGAGGTGGTGCACGCTGTAACAGCAGCTGAATTATTCAGCTGGCTCGTAGACGGGTAATAAATTGCTGATGTTTTTATTGGTGTCTCAGCTAAGTATTATTTAACCTTGCTTTAAACTGCTTACTTCCATGCTGAGTGCCTTTTAACTCCCATCCATTTCCCTGTGCCTTTCAAATATTGATGGTGAATATTGGAGGGTTGACTGAGTGCCAGCATGGGACCCCTGGTCCTGGCTCCCGGAACTGCCTTGCAGACGTACACACAAACACACTAACACTCACGCTCAAAAACCCTCCGGGGAGAGAGAAGTAGTGCCGGCTTCTGGCACTTAGTGTTCCCCTGGTCTCTTAAAGTTTGGGTGTGCAAATGATTCATGTTCTGTTAATCCGGGAACATGAATATGAGAGGAGTAAATAGATGCTGGTTGTGTTTTTGAAGTGTTTATAAAGCAGGTAGTTGTTTAGCCCACAGGCTTTCAGATTCCTGCTCAGCTTCATGTTCCTTAAGAGGATCCCTTAACTCGCTCATGGCAGCAGTGCTGTAGAGCTGCGGTATGAAAAGTGCCAGTTTACCTGATACAAAATGATCTCTTTAGCATGAAGCTGTGGTTAGATCAAACTTTGCTTTTTGCTGTTTGACACTAATTTAATAAAAAATATTTCCTTTGTATAATTTAGTCTACTAATCATGCACCACTTATGCTGTGTGAGTGTATGCCTCAAGGCCCTGTGTTTCCTGCACCAGACGTGTTGAGCAGTTGATTGTTAGTCATAACTTCTCCTCAGCACAGATCTGAGGCTTATGCCACTCTGGCCTGGTATGGAAAAACCACAGAGGGGGATTGCTGTCTGATCCTGACAGTAATAGATGTGTGAATGTGCTAATATCATCCAGGGTTTAACTGATCAGCCTTATGTTTAGTGTGTGGTTTCTCCTCGCCTTTTCCCTCCGACCCACTTGGTGTCTGTCTGTCTTTCTCCCTGTCTACTCACAGCAGCAGCAGCTCCAGGCGCAGCACCTCTCCCACGCTGCTCACGGGCCTCCGGTCCAGCTTCCACCTCACCCTTCGGGCCTGCAGCCGCCGGGCATCCCCCCTGTGACTGGCTCTGGATCAGGCCTTCTGGCACTCGGAGCCCTGGGTAGCCAAGCCCACCTTCCAGTAAAGGACGAGAAGAACCACCACGATCTGGAACACAGAGGTGAAGAGTGAAGCTCAGACGTAAAGCTGCTTAACAAGTTTACTTCGATGACCTGAAACATATATTAATTTAACATTATTGCAGAGATGTTAAACAGGGGGAAATCTAATTTAGTGTGGCGTGCTTCTCACTCTCTAGAGCAGAATGGTAGGGCCCTTAGGTGAGGAGCTCATCCTGTCGGTTCACATTCTGTCTGGGTAATGAGCTGGTACATTCCCAGCCCATGACTGCATAAGCTATTCAACAGCTCCAACACACGGCAATAAGAGGGGCCTTGTGCCCCGCAGTTGATTCTCACACGTTCAGCCAGAAGCATCTGTTATGATATGCTAACTGACTTGTTTTTCCCTTTGCTCCACTTGCTTTCATCATCACCTTGGCCCCTGTTGTGACGTCTGTTGGACAGAGAGCACGGTGAGTGTCCAAACACACTACTATCCCTGCTGCAATGCTTGTCTGTCCCATAAACCTTTTTCATCCTTGCTGCAAAAGTCAAGTCAAAATTCTTTACTAACAGCATGCCGCTGGTGATTTCATGCACTGTTGTAATCTGCTTTCAATAAAATGATTAATTGGAAATGAGGTTTGGAATATAAGTCCTGTGCTTTTAATCCAGAAGGGAAATGACTGGTATCATGCTGGAGAGATTAGGAGTCTTGTAATTTCATCACAATTAAAAAAAGACTTGGACTTCCCCTTCTTAAAGGATTTATTTGATCCCTTCTACTGTCTCCCTTGTTTACCAGCTCACTCTTTCTCCTCCTTGGCATGTGATGAATATTTATGAACACAAATGGAGAATTGTTTTGTTTTCTTTCTCTCCACCCCGTCTGGCTGGAGCTGCTAAAGCGTTTTATTTGAATGGCTGCGATCTCTGATGGCTTGTGATGGGCTTGCGAGATTGTGTTTCTGCAGGCCGGGCCGGCTGAATGGGTGCAGTCATGTCTGAAGAAATGGAACTCCTGGGGCGATTAGCAGGCCTGTTTTGTTTCTGTGCTCTTGTCCCAGGTCATCTGATAGCAGAGTGGTGACTTTGGTTAATGAGTCACGCTAAGCATCTCTTTAAAGGTCAGCCATTATGCAGACAGTGGCCCTTTGCCCAGACTGCTAGTCCATCGGCCATTGTTCACTTCCCTGGGCTGCCACCGACTAAGTCCATGTTGTTGCTTCGGTCCTCGGAGGAAGGGACAGAGAGAATCAGGAGAACTTGGCAGTTCAAGAACTGATGGTAAACCCCTGTGAAAGCAGCTGGACACCTGCCTAGTTCCTCCTATTCTGTTGGTGTTTGGAGTGAGCTGTCCCAGCTTGTGTGGGCAGGCGGGCTCTATGAAGAAGCACCAGTCAGTCCCACGCTGCCGTGCCCACTGGCAGGATATAGATTCTCTTTCTTTATCGGAGCTCAAAGCCTGAGTTGACATGGTGCCCGAGCACTCTGCGCAGCGGCAATCGATGCCTGATGCCCACAACATACTGTCTCTCTCTCTCTCTTTCTCTCTCTCTCTCTCTCTCCTCTCTCTCACTCTTCATCTGTGCCTCCTCCTCTCTCTCTCGCTTAGCCTGACTGACTCTGGAGAAAAGGCCTTCTGTTCAGCCACAACACACTGCTCATGTCCCTGTGAGGCTGTTTGTTGTCCAGTTATGAGGAGGAGGGAGCCCAGCACGGAAAACAAGCCCTCCTCCTTTCAGTTCAGATAACGGCCCATTCTGTTGTTTGGCTGGGGACAGGCCTGTGTGTGAGATTGGGCTTGGCTGGTGTCAGGGTACCGCTTGGAGCTGGCCTGCAGCTGCATTTTTAGAGTGTGCAGCATCCATGATGTGAATAAAGCATTTTAGTGTTTGGATTGGCCCAGCGTGTTCCCCGTGAATTTGTAATTGATGAATGACTCAGTGCTCCCTTTTTTTATGACAGGAAACAAAATGGTAATAAAGTTTGTGTGTTTTTTTTATTTTCTCTTTGCAGAATAACTCTATATCCCCGTCAGAAAGCTTACGCACAGCCAGCGAGAAGCACCGTAGCTCCTCCGACTACAGTTTGGAGTCCAAGAAACGCAAAGTTGATGAGAAGGACAGCATGAGTAGATATGTAAGTCACAGTTAATTTTTAATGTTTTTATGTCATGCTTACTTCCTGAAGAAGATAGATATCAAGGTTAACATTGCTGAGCACAATGACTGGAGACTAGGTGCAACAGCCAGCCTGACTCTTGGATTGAAAAACTGCACCAGTGAACCATTTAGTGCCCAAAACTTGATTGTAATTGGTAGCTAGAAATCTTTTTAATTATGTCCTATTGGGAATAGAATTGTGAAGGTGGCTAATTTGTGAATCTTCTTTACAGGACAGTGATGGAGAGAAAAGTGATGACCTTGTGGTAGACGTGTCTAATGAGGTGAGAAGTACAGCTTGTACTTGTAAATGGAGTATTGATGTGTACCAGGATGAAGCTTTTACTCAATCTTTGAAACCTCTTGGTGTGTTTTTCCAGGATCCTGCTACTCCACGTGCAAGTCCTGCACACTCCCCGCCTGAAAATGGCATCGACAAGCCCCGCCCTCCAAAAAAGGACACACCCAACAGTCCTGCCTCAGTGGCATCCTCTGGAAGCACCCCATCCTCCAAAACCAAGGAGCTCAGTCATGTAAGACATCAAGAGTTTGTTACAAACTAGGACAGAAAGGGTTTAAATGAGAAACGCAGAGAGAGTAAAGGGATATGTGCAAATAAATCTGGGACGTTTTCTGCAGTGGATTAGAAATGGCTGTCGGTGCTTTAAGTGCATGACTAAACGTCAGGGATAATATTGTCCCGAATCAGGATCAGTCAGGTCTTCTCTGTTAATAGCTCAATGTATTTAACTATTCCAGGATTTTTCTCCCTCTGCCTCACTGAGAGATTAAAGCCAAAGCAGTAAGGGGATAAAAACGGCCCCATCTCTATTGTGGCCATAATAGGTTTTAGAATAAATAGCAGTTTATGGCTCTGCAGGACTATGAGGGTTGTCAGAATTAGATTGGATTAAGTTCAGTTTGCTCTCAAATTGTCAGTCTGCACAGTGCCTGCTTTCCGGGATTGTGATTGTGCTTGCTCTCTCGTTCCCTCGACAGAATGACAAATCCTCCACGCCTGGCCTCAAGTCCAACACCCCCACACCTCGCAATGATGCCCCCACCCCTGGCACCAGCTCCACTCCCGGGCTCAGACCCATCCTGGGCAAACCACCAGGCATGGAGGCTCTTGGTTGGTAGCAGTCTTTCTCCTCTCTAGCAACTGAGATAATCTTTTTTTTTTTTTCCATCCTCTCCTGATGTAAAAGATTATCACATACCAATATCCATTTCCTGTCTTTCTCTGTAGCAGCCCCGGCTTTGCGTACCCCGCTGTCCATCGCAGGCTCCTACCCCACTCCCTTCGCCATGATGGGCCACCACGAAATGAACGGTGGCTTAACAAGTCCTGGTGTGTATGCTGGTCTGCACATCTCCCCTCAGATGAGCGCTGCAGCAGCGGCAGCCTACGGACGCTCCCCAATGGTAACCCCCTTACCTGTTCGTTTGTGTTAGGGTTGATCAAGACCTTTCTCACATCTGTCTGTCAAAGTGTCTTGGTTGTGTTTTAAACTTTAACACTACAGAGCTTTTATTTTATTTGCCAGTGTTACTTTAAGACACTGCCAGGTTTGGTGTTTCTTCCTCTGTTAGGCTAACTAATAGAATGCTTTGACAAATAGATAAGAGTGGTATCAGTCTTGTTATCTAACACTGGACAGGAAACAGCGTATGCATGTTTCCCAGACTGTCCGTTAATGAGGCAGATTGAACTCCTTGAAGTGAAGTGGTTTTTAAAAGTTACTGTGTCTTCTTTTTTCAGGGGTTTGATCCTCACACCCACATGAGAGCCCCCGGTCTTCCTGCTAGCCTCACATCCATCCCTGGTGGCAAACCGTAAGACTCTTTAAATGTTTTATAGTTAAACATCTAAAAAATGGAAGTGTAATAAAACACTCAAACTGGTCTGTTTTTTTCCGTTAGGGCTTACTCCTTTCATGTCAGTGCAGACGGGCAGATGCAGCCTGTGCCCTTCCCACCCGACGCCCTAATCGGCCCTGGTATCCCACGCCACGCCCGTCAGATCAACACACTTAGCCACGGTGAAGTGGTGTGTGCCGTTACCATTAGCAACCCCACACGTCATGTCTACACTGGTGGAAAAGGCTGTGTTAAAATCTGGGACATTAGCCAACCAGGCAGCAAGAGCCCTGTGTCCCAACTCGACTGTCTGGTGAGAGTCACTGCTTTTTGTTCATCAACAGCTTTTATGGTTTAGGACAGCTGTCATTTTAAAGGAAATTAACTGTTAACACACAACACTTTCCCAGTAAATATCCAATTATCCTTCGTGATACATGAGGATCACAACAGGCACATATCCCATGTTTGTGTACCAGTGCATTTGCAGAAAATGCACCAGTACACAAATGCAGCTGCTGCATTTAGTCAATCTTTGTGTAGAAAAGAAGAAAACAAGCTCTGGCAACAACCTAGACAGAATTTTTTTTAGGATCACAGGACATTTTGGGATATTTAATATTTGCATGATGCTAAAAAGATGTGTAAACCCAGAAAGTCCTTAATCCTGTCCATTCAGTGAAGGTTTGAGCAAACCTTTAGTTTGGTTTATAATCACAGAAGGATTTTTTATCCTTTTTTCCCACCAACTCATTCCTAAATCTCTCTCCAGCTCCACTAAACATGTATTGATTGGCTTTGTCCTCTGTGCAACAGAACAGGGATAACTACATCCGCTCCTGTAAGCTGCTGCCTGATGGCCGCACATTGATTGTTGGAGGCGAGGCCAGCACATTGACCATCTGGGATCTGGCCTCTCAGACACCTCGCATTAAAGCCGAGCTCACCTCCTCAGCACCGGCATGCTACGCCTTGGCCATCAGTCCAGACGCCAAAGTCTGCTTCTCCTGCTGCAGTGATGGGAACATAGCTGTTTGGGACCTGCACAACCAGACTCTCGTCAGGTAAGAAGAACATTTATCTCGTATGGGCTTTGACGCCATGACAGAGTTGCTGCTGTGTGAGTAGTTCTAAAAGATTAAGTCAACAAATGTTTGTTTGTCCTCTGAATTCAACTCTAGGCAGTTCCAGGGTCATACAGATGGTGCTAGCTGTATTGACATATCACATGATGGCACTAAGCTATGGACAGGCGGTCTTGACAACACTGTTCGCTCTTGGGATTTGAGGGAAGGTCGGCAGCTGCAGCAGCATGACTTTACTTCGCAGGTACAGTTGTGTAACTCAGAGGAGAAGACTAAAATACACACTGATGTACAGACTTACTGAGGAGGGAGGTTTTTCTTTATACCCCAGACCTGAAAGTAAAAACTGCTCTGTCCCATTTCTAGATCTTCTCTTTGGGCTACTGTCCGACCGGGGAATGGCTCGCTGTAGGCATGGAGAGCAGTAATGTGGAGGTGCTCCACCACTCGAAGCCTGACAAGTATCAGCTCCACCTGCACGAGAGCTGTGTCCTCTCCCTCAAGTTCGCCTACTGTGGTATGAAAACAAACACTGATGATAGCACTGACTTGATTTACAGATCAGGCCTCAGCTCATCCTTTCGTTATTGGTGATAAATCTAAACCACTCATTTAAAGCCTGAATAGTAACGAGCTTTTACAGTTTCACGTTTGATAATACTGTATTTGTACTGTAGGTGTGCTATTGCCTAAAGGAGCCTGATTGCATTGTACCTTTTTTGCAGGTAAATGGTTTGTAAGCACCGGGAAGGACAACTTGTTGAATGCTTGGAGGACTCCTTATGGTGCCAGCATATTCCAGGTATGCAGATCAATACATACTGTCTGCAGTTTGTCCAAAAGTATGCAGAGTTGTCTCTGAGAGGAAGGACACAGTGACCGCTGTCTGAAAAGACTCTACTATCAGTGAAAACTGAAACGGAGTTATTGACCTGACAAAGAAGTCTCTCTTTGAGAGGCATCAGGCCAAAACTTGATGTCATTGCAATCCTATCTTCCTCTCCGGACAGCTTATTTTCTCCTCTGAACTTCTAATGTAGTTACAAATGTTAACTGCTCCCAAGACTAACATGTTTTTCTCTCCCTCCTCAGTCCAAGGAATCCTCATCTGTCCTGAGCTGTGACATCTCAACAGATGACAAGTATATTGTGACAGGCTCCGGTGACAAGAAGGCCACTGTTTATGAAGTGATCTACTAAAACAGAGTGCTTTGGATGATCGGAGCATGGTCATGCTCAGGAACAGTAGACTCTTCCTCCATCTACCTTTCCTCACACAGACAGCATGGATGTTGCCTGCAGCCCCTGGGTGGATGAGCAGGAAGTTTGGCAGTGCCAGACCAGACTAAACTGGACGTTGGTGCTTTTTTGGCCCTGGATGCTGTGACTTTTTGGCTCTGCCCTTCCTCGCCCATACAACTAACACTTGTAAAGCAAGTGCAGCTCCCCAAGGCACTAAGAAGAAAATAATGTCTTGCTGTTTTTTCTGTTGTTGGATATTTCTTTTTTATTCGTCCTTTCTAATGTGGAGATAAAGTTCCACGACACAACTAGAAGCGGCGCTTCGCTCTGGAGCTTCTCCTCGGAGGTCCTGTGAAAAGTGTACATAATGGAGTAATAAAAGGCCTTTTATAGATTTATATTTTGGTGTCCAGTTACGCTTGTGATGGTTCTTTCTTGTTCTCTCCGTGATTTTCTGTCCCCTCTGGGGATGAAAATTAGATTAGGACTTTGTAAAAGGATATTCTATTTCAGTTTCCTCCCCCTCTGCCTTTTTTCATGTTCTTTGTCCAGAATGACCTTTTTGGAAATCTAATTTGGATTTTTTTTCTTCCTGACAACAGCATTTTTTCTTCACTATTTGCCGTAACACAGAACACAGACATTCATTCCATGGATTTTTACACTGGAGAATCCTGGAAAGGACCTTTTTTCAGACTGAAGGCAGGAGAAAATCATGGTTTCAAGCTATTTCTCACCATGTTCAGCAGAAATTCAACATCAAAATGAAGACCCACCCCTGAACACTGGTTGTTTTTAGTGACATTAAACGGATAGCTATCAACTGGAGGACTAATGGGTTTTACGGAGAAGCAGCTGTGACCTGAGTTCAGTCTGCTGTCTCAGCCATTGTATGAATCTTCATTTTTCCATTCAGCAAAGATTAGTCATCAGTCCTGGAGTTAATTATTTCCTCTGGTTTGACTCTCTGTGACTGATATGCAGGACTTACATGGTAACTCAGAAGGTTGGCAGAAATGCCATCCACACATTAGACATTTTTGGGTATGCTCAGTTTGCTTTCTGCAGTATTTCATCGAATTCAACAGCAATCTTCTCATCGACAGGAATGGCCTCTTCATAAACACACATTAGCCTGTGTAGCATACACGTTTCATCATCTCTGAGGATTGTACAGTTGACAGTTGTTGATAAATCAATAAACTGTTTTTATATAAAATCATCCTGACTGAATTTTTAAAGTGCTGGTGCCTTGCTAGTGTTACACATTTTACAGGATTTATTTGGTATTCCCGGTATAAGCTTATTCACCCCCCTGCCAAGAGTTGGATGAGAAGATTGACACTAATCCTGTAGCTCATGTACAGTAAATATGAAGCTACAGTCAGCAGCCAGTAAGCTTAGTTTGCATGAGGATGGAAAATGGGAAATTCTAGCCTTACCATGTTATGTAGTAAAAACACCTGTCTGTGAATGACCTGGTTTGAGAATTTCTTGAAATCTCCCCTGATCACTTGTCACATGGTTGGTTAAATTTTTCTCAAGGTCCAGTGACAGTCCTCTGGAATAACAGAACTCAAAGTGCTAAAATCTTTACTCATTTCCAGGTTCTTGAATGAATGTCATGTGTCATGAGTTGATGTGTAAGCTTCATGGGTCTTGGAAGGCTAGTTTCCTCCTGTTTTACATGTTACACTAAACTAAGCTGGCTGGCTGCTGTATGTAGCTTCTCTTTTACTGTGTATGAGCAGAGAGAGCAGTGTCAGAGTTTCCATCAAATGCACAGAAAATAAATATTTATATTTTCCAAAACTTTTAGATGTTTACATTCTGTAGCTGTTGGTTTGCATTACTTAGATTTATGCTGGTATGTAAATATTAGGTTTGTGCCGCTATGGGGCATGGAGTTTCTTCAGTTGAAAAAGTGACTTATTGACTGCATCAGTAACTGAGACAAACACACTATGGGTTGATGTGTTTGGGTGTATTTTGGTGATAAAGTATACCAGTAATGTGCTCTGCCATGACTCGCTCTAGTCAGATGGGTGCGGAGTCACTATTGGCTTTTCTTGGCAGTAAATGGAAGAACTTTAGTGAATGGCTGTAATGTGTCCAGACAGAGGCTGACAGCTACCGTAAGAGAAGTGCAGATACTAGACGTAAACATTCTGGTTTTTGGCCTCAACTCAGAAAGTACCAAGCTTTTCAGTAATATTTGAGACTTTAGTCGATAGCTTTCTGTAATCAACAGTGGTCACTAAGAGCTGCCTCATTATAATATAAGCGAATCCATGATGGCAACACTGGAACCAAACAGCCAACTCAGGGTGATACAATGAGGCTGAGTTTTATGCAGCACCACTTCAGAAATATGACGCAAACACTGCTCTTGAGTTCTCTTGAGTGGTCTTTCGGTAGTTGAGTACTTTTGGGTAGGATGAGGTGAATGGCCCAGTCCTTCCACTCTAGAACAAGGCTCTTGTAGGACTGTGCGTGAAGCTGTGAGCCCTTCATATGGCTGCCTCTTCAGCGATGTTATTGTTAGATTTAAAAAGCGGGGCCGGATGCTTTCAGCATGGAGCCAGCCGCCATGCTCTGCTCTCACGGGCTCATTTGTTAAAGGCTATAGTCTTTCTTTTCCCACATTGCTGAAGTGTGTACTTCCTGTGTGCATTTGTAGCTTAAGCTCCTTGCTCAAGTAGAATTTTCTTCCTCACTTAATCAAACAGTGGAATATCTACAGATGAAAGGTTGTAGCTCCTGAGTGCCTATTGCTGGACACTGAGGGGGTCATTGTCTCGCCTTCCGCTGATCTACCCCTCAATGGAGGGCTTTCAGCAAGTTCTCATGCAAAGACCCATGCTGTCCTGTTCTATTTAGAGAGGATACAGTCCAGACTAGAGAGCTAGAATGCCATGAGTGTTTTACAGCAGCTCTAAACACAAGAACATAGTCCAATTCTAAATTGTTAAAGCCAAGATTCAAATACCCTACAGAAATTCAAAAGGGGGGTCTATGATGCCAAAATATGGCCATGCACATGCAAAACCATGGTGTGATTTTGTTTTTCAGGTTCAGTTGCCAGGCATTGATCACAGTCCACCACAATTCTGGCTGGTTCTTTTGGCTGGCATTTTGTTTTCCGCCCTCCCCAATCCATCACACAGAGAATCAGGTTTTTCTTTTTTCCCAACAGCGAGGGCCTGGCACCGTGCTGAAATGCAGAATAATAATCCCCTAATCACCTGAGTATTGCCAGTCCTGGGTTTTATCTGCAATTGATGTGAAAGCCCCCAGTGCCTAGTGATTACAGCATTTGATCTGGGTAATAATGTCTTCACTGTTGCCCTGCTTAGGCCCGAAGGCAGTGGCGCTCTAATCCACAGTGCATTCTAGTGGAATCGCATTACACAAAGACCACCAGGGTTCTTCTCTAGAGGGGAGGGGTAGGGGTTGGGGGGTTAAAGGAGGAGGTTGCCATGGAAACAAGCTTTCTCTCTTTCCCTTGTACAGACATACATGCACACTCACACATAATACACACTCTCTCCTGGGATAGATAAGCAAAGGACAGGTTCTATGTTTACTTTCCATGGGCCCTCCAATCCCTGAGCAGGCTGAGCCCTGATAACACGGGGCCTGTACAGCCAGCGACCACTGTCAGCAGATAAGCACCCCAGCAGAGCAGAGCAGTCATTGCCCTCCAACCAGGATGAGCAAACCTGGGAGACCCGGATTCATTTGGATTAGGCTGGATTGCTGCTGCCTTCTGCCACTGCTGCTGCTTTTGCTTCTGTGTTCAGACTACTGATGTTCACAGGACTTTATACATGGGAACTAGATGTTGCTGTTCACCCTGTGAGTCCCGGAGCTTAGTGAGAGGACATGGGCACAGTAATGGACTGGATGCTATTTTAGATATTGTGGTCGAGGGACTGTCTGCACTGGGGCAGGTTTGTGTCACCACGGCTGGAGAGAACTGAAGCTAGAAAACTTTGATTCATCCTGATGTGCCCCGAGGAACAAATAAACACTTATTGTCAGTCTGTTGCTCCGCCGTCTCCTTATGTCTGCTCCTTTTGTACTAGAAGGTCAGTGTACTGTCAAGGAATTCCTTTGTAGTTGTTCCAAGTATCCACTAAAATCCAATAATTTAATACACAAAGTAATTAGATTTGTATGATACTAACGCCCTGAGAAGGAACCAACATGCTCTTTGATATTAAGATCAATACAACTACAAGTACATCCTTATTATGTGCTTAATGCTAACATGCTAATTATATTTCCACATTTTTTGATTAAGACACAGCTGGAGGTGCATGAATAAACGACTAATTACTGAGGCAATGGTTTTATTGAGCTTAATCGAGAGATGAATTTCCCTTCAGCCACTTCAGCTTTTTTGTTTATTTCTTACTCATCTTTCTGTCACATCAATCAGATCACAGCATAATCACACCTTTTGAATAAAGGAGGAGGGTTTCTCTAACAGCTCACGCGAGTTTATCTCAGTTTATGTCAACAACTGCTTGAGCTTATTGAACATCATGTAGTAAATTCGAAAGTACTACTTACTGAAGACTTTCTGAACTACACTGAGACTTCTTGTGTTGTTTTCTGTGTGAAAAAGGACATTTCTTTTTAAAATCTCATCAGTGAAACAAAACAAATATACTGCCAGGATATTATTTGGCTGTATATTCTTTAAGTTTTTTCAAAGCAATAGAGAACATATGGAGTATTATAGCGATGTTTATTTGAGGGTTAGTTCCTCAAACTTATGCAATATGCTCTGTTCTTTTCTAAAAAGAGCACTATGGGACCTACCAAACACTTCAATACACCATATTCATACATACAGATGTATGAAACAACAAAATCATTGTAATTCAAACTATGTTACAAAAATATGAGTAAATGCAGGAAATTTTAGTCTCTTCTAGTTCAATTTCCCC